GAGCACACCAGGCACTCCTGTCTTCCACTGCCTCCCGCAGTTTGGTCAAACTCATGTTTGTAGCTTCGAGAACACTGTCCAACCATCTTGCCCTCTGTCGTCCCCTTCTCCTTGTGCCCTCCATCTTTCCCAACATCAGGGTCTTCTCCAGGGAGTCTTCTCTTCTCATGAGGTGGCCAAAGTATTGGAGTCTCAGCTTCAGGATCTGTCCTTCCAGTGAGCACTCAGAGCTGATTTCCTTAAGAATGGATAGGTTTGATCTTCTTGCAGTCCATGGGACTCTCAAGAGTCTCCTCCAGCACCATAATTCAAAAGCATCAATTCTTCTGCAATCAGCCTTCTTTATGGTCCAGCTCTCACTTCCATACATCACTACTGGGAAGACCATAGCTTTAACTATACGGACCTTTGTCAGCAAGGTGATGTCTCTGCTTTTTACTCTGCTTTTATTATGTATATTTGTTTTTAAATTACTAATTGTATCCTCATAAACCACTCTGAGGCTTCCCCCATTTTATTTTATTTTACAATCAAGCTGCGTACAAATTTAACAACCTAAATATTTCGATAAATACCGTGTCTACATGTTTACCCACGTTTTATTCCGAATACAGGATATCGTTTCATTTAACCACATGGAAATATTTGTAGATTTATTTTTTGTTCATATTGCAACCTGTAAACTCCACCCCATCGTGGTAAAACCGCAAAGCGGCGGCTTATGAAGAAAGCGCCATGTAAATCTTACCAAGTAAAATAAATGAAAATGATACCGCAGGCCCACAATCTGTGTGCAAAGTCGCCCCACATTTCATGCGTTAAAACCTATAAGTTTGCTTCGAGGGTGGCCCCACACATGTGTGGGGTGCGACTAAATGGGGGTTTCTTCCCAAGTCTACAATTCCATGATTCTTGAGGTTTTAAAGAAAGAAGCCCACCGAGAACTGATGTGTGGATTGCGTGGACAATGCCCAGTATACCTGAAGGAGCGTCTCCACCCCCATCGTTCTGCCTGGACACTGAGGTCCAGCTCCGAGGGCCTTCTGGCGGTTCCCTCACTGCAAGAAGTGAGGTTACAGAGAACCAGGCAGAGGGCCTTCTCGGTGGTGGCGCCCGCCCTGTGGAACGCCCTCCCGTCAGATGTCGAGGAGATAAACAACTACAGTGGTACCCCGGGTTACATACGCTTCAGGTTACATTCACTTCAGGTTACAGCCTCCACTAACCCAGAAATAGTACCTTGGGTTAAGAACTTTGCTTCAGGGTGAGAACACAAATCGTGCTCCAGCAGCACGGCAGCAGCGGGAGGCCCCATTAGCTAAAGTGGTGCTTCAGGTTAAGAACAGTTTCAGGTTAAGAACGGACCTGCAGAATGAATTAAGTACTTAACCCAAGGTACCACTGTATCTGACTTTCAGAAGACATCTGAAGGCAGCACTGTGTAGGGAAGCTTTTAATGTTTGATGTTTTATTGTGTTTTTAATATTCTGTTGGGAGCCACCCAGAGTGGCTGGGGAAACCCAGCCAGATGGGTGGGTTAGAAATACTAATAATACTAATACTATTAGTACTACTACTAATAATTTATTATTATTATACTCTGTGGGTCAGCTCTTTGAAGCTCCTTCACCTTTGCAGGGTTTTCCCCTGCCAGTAAAGCTTCACTCCTTCCCCGCAGCTGATAAAATTAGCAAAAGCAAAACGCAGGAATGATTTCCCAGCGCACTGAGAGCAAGACATGCTCACCATGAAGTGGTGGAAAAGGGGAGTGCGTTTCCCCCCCTTTCACCACAGCTCACGAGGAGCCACTCCTGGCCTTGCAGCTACCGCAGGATTATTTTGTGTGCGTGTGGTTTTTTTTTTTTAATTCGCCACAGCCGACTCTGCTATTTTTCACTGCCCCTGTTGCCAGCTGCCACCCCCACCCCCACCTCCCATTGTCATGGCTACCACCGTCCCCATCACCATGGCTACCATCCTCGCACTATTATTATCACAACCATTTATAAACCATTGTTGCGCTCCTTTCCCCCGTCACTGTCACATCTGCCAGCCCCTTTCTCCCCGACGTTTGAGCCATCGCCATTGCGCCCTCTGTATTTTTAGGACCATTCTTGGATGGCTAGGACTCTTCCCCGTATCCACTGACCCACCCCTCCCGGAAAGATGGTCAGCTAAGACCAGGTCCACCAAAACAGCAGGGAGGGCGATGTCCAAGGCTCACACAGGTTCACTACAAATCTAGTCGCCAGCCTTTCGAAAGGGTCTGCTTGCTAAGAACAGGCCTTGTAAAGGTAAAGGGACCCCTGACCATTAGGTCCAGTCGTGGCCGACTCTGGGGTTGCGGCGCTCATCTTGCTTTACTGGCCGAGGGAGGTGGCGTACAGCTTCCGGGTCATGTGGCCAGCATGACTAAGCTTCTTCTGGCGAACCAGAGCAGCGCACGGAAATGCCGTTTACCTTCCCGCCGGAGCGGTACCTTTTTATCTACTTGCACTTTGACATGCTTTCGAACTGCTAGGTTGGCTGGAGCTGGGACCGAGCAACGGGAGCTCACCTAGACCTTGATACCAATGCAATTTCCCCTGTGTCCAGTGAAAGGTGTAGTGTTCAAAACTGCATGAGCAAGTTTGTGACTGAGTACCATTCTGCACTTCATCCACTGGGCAAGTTATCCCTAATTATTAATACAGTGGTACCTCGGGTTACATACGCTTCAGGTTACAGACTCCGCTAACCCAGAAATAGTACCTCGGGTTAAGAACTTTGCTTCAGGATGAGAACAGAAATCGCGCGGTAGCAGCGGGAGGCCCCATTAGCTAAAGTGGTGCTTCAGGTTAAGAACAGTTTCAGGTTCAAAACAGACCTCTGGAACGAATTAAGTACTTAACCCGAGGTACCACTGTATATATATATATATTATTTTTGAACTGCCTATCTGAACTGCGAGACTCAGCTTCCTATTGAAAGTTGGCACAATGTCCAGAATAGGGGAGGGAAAAATAAAATAAAAATCTTATTCCTGGTTTACCATCTCCTCCTCTGAGCCAGGATTGTGAAAATGGGATGGTATAAGCCAACACTTGCCAATGAGATGCCCTCTAGATGTTTTGGACTACAATTTAGCACCCCCCAGCCAAACACACTTAGGAGGATTAGGAGAGGATTGTGTGTGAGATCTCCTCCCTAGCGGATGGGATGCTGGGGAAACTCCTCTCTCACCCAGCTAAGAGTGATACCAGACCAGAGGCAGGGACCTCAGGCCAAAGGGTTGATGCGGCCCTCCCGCTCTTCCCATCAGGCCCTCAGGACACTTCTGGCCTTGCTTTGCTCCCTAAGGATTGCAATACAGGGGGTTGGACTAGATCAGGGGTCAGCAAACTTTTTCAGCAGGGGGCTGGTCCACTGTCCGTCAGACCTTGTGGGGGCTGGACTATATTGTGGGGAAAAAATGAACGAATTCCTATGCCCCACAAATAACCCAGAGATGCATTTTAAATAAAAGGACACATCCTACTCATGTAAAAACACCAGGCAGGCCCCACAAATAACCCAGAGATGCATTTTAAATAAAAGGACACATTCTACTCATATAAAAACACGCTGATTCCCGGACAGTCCGGATTTAGAAGGCGATTGGGCCGGATCCGGCCCCCGGGCCTTAGTTTGCCTACCCATGGACTAGAAGACCCGTGAGGTCCCTTCCAACTCTGCAATTCCTTAATTTTTCTGGAGAGAGGGATGTGTCTGTGTATGTGTGCGTTAGATGCTAGCCTCCTGCTAAGCTGTGCGTTCCCTACGTGTTCGCCCGTCGTCTTTTTAAGGGATTAAGAGAATCCATCCCATAACAGTCACTCCCCCACCCATCCCAGGGGCGTTCGGCGTCTCACCTCCTCCTCTTACACTTGGTGCAAAATTGCACTTTCTGCAAATCTTGGGAGAAACGGGTCTGAGGCCGATGGGCGAGGAAAGTTGGCGGGGCGAAAGCCCTGGAGGAAAACGAATCTGGGCTTCCCAGCGCTTCCTCCATTCATGGTGGGTAGGGCGGGGGCGGGGGGTACTGCTAGATGGGCGGGAGTGCAAAGCAGAGTTCAAAGCGCACAAGTTACTATTTTATGAATGAGGAGGCGGGACATGGTCAGGACGGAGATCCTGCCCATTAATTGCAAAGCAATATTAATATAGGGGGGCGGGGCTAGGTATATGAACAAATGTAACACTTCGGCAACAGGGAGTTGGAATGAAGAAGGAAAAGGAAATGGAATTTCGAGACGACAGATGAGTTCATAGAAGCTTTGAAACAGAATTAGTGTCAATGACTGACCACATTTCCAGCGAGGGAGCTCTAGAATGTCAATGGCTTGAACCGTGGGCGTGGCTGCGTAGGTAATTTAAGACCAGCGAGCCAATGGAGCGAGTGGAAGGGCGTGGCTATGCAGATAAGGTGGGTTGGGCGAACCAATGGCGGACGGCTGAAACATTCCTGGGGCGGGGTTTACCATGCAGATAAGGCAGCGCAGGTGAGTCAATGGCTCGGCTCCGGGGCGCGGCTATGCAGATCGCCTTCTGCAAGCCGGCCAATGGCTTGGCTCGAAGGCGGGGCCAAAGTGCAGAAACCAAGGGAGCACAGCCAATGGCTCGGCTTCAGGGCGTGGCCATCAGGTAGGCCGGGGTTTCTAACTGGGCGCGGCCAGGCCAGCGAAACTCAACCACGGGGTCCCAAGAAGAGACCGGGCAGGAGGGGCGTGGCTTTGTAAAATAAAGCGGAGCCCGGCGAGCCAATGGCTTCTTTGGAAGGGTTATTATGCAAAAAAGCCCAGCAGGGTGAGCGAGGGTCCAATTGTTTGAATGGGAGGTTCGGCCACGGAACCCGAGGCCGCCCAATGGAGGGCTGCGCATGCAAATCAGCCCCGGCAGACCGGCCAATGAGCGTTGCTATGCAGATGAGGCGGTGACAGCGCCGGAGCTGCAGCGGCCGGAGCGCGCCCGGGGGTCGCTTTAGCGCTGCTGCGCTTGGCGGAGCAGGACTCGCACCCGGCGCCGCGCTCCACCGGAGGAGGATGATCCGGGCGTTCTCGTTCCCCGCCAGCCCGGAGCGGAGCCGGCTCCGCGGCTGGCTGGAGGGCACCTTGGCCGGCTTGTGCGAGCTGCATCTGCTCCGCGAGCGGCAGGAGCGCCGGGTCCGGCAGGCGCTGCGCCTGGCCGCCGAGTCCCCGAGCAAGCAGGGCGATGGCGAGGCTGGAGGCGGCGACGCGGCTCCGGAGGACCAGCTGGTGAGAGAGAGAGAGAGAGAGAAGGAGCCCCATTGTCCGCCCCGGCGGGGGCTTTTGCCGGACACCCCTGCGCGGGGATCCGGTCCGATCCTGCTCGGGGGAGGTGCTGGGTTGATCTATCCAATAGCTTCGGGGGCGAAGGAGATTCGAGGCTGCATTCACGGGAGGTGGGGAGGGGGGAGGCTTTGCGAGGGGAGGGGGCTTCGCGCGAGGGGAAAGGTCCGTACGTACCGTGGTGCTGTTGGTGGGCGTGAAAGGGTTAAAATGGGGAGGAGGGGGCGAACCGCCGCGATTATCCCTCCCCCGCTTCTCTAGTGTGGTTTTGGGGGTGCGGGGCGCGCGCATCAAGGCTGCGATCCTGCTGCACCCGACGAGTTGCAGCGGTGTAAACGCGTGGCTGCCCTTGGGGGAAGGGTCCTTCTGCGACGTTGCTGGAGGGGGGGGGGCTTCTATATCGTCTGCCTGTGTTTCTTGTTCCCCCCCATATCTTGCGTTGTCCACCGGAGAGCAAAGATTTATTTCATTTTTTGAAAGGGGAAAGCGGGGGCTTTAAGCCCAAGCACGGCTGTAAAGGGATCGGGAGACCGACGAGTCGGTTTCTCTGCGGTTTTATTAATGGGCTTGCGAGAAATGCCAGAGGAGCGTTGCCTGTGCGCCTTCGAAACCCGGGGAATCTCGCCTCGCCGTTTTTACCTCCTGCCGGTTCGTCTTGGGCAACCGATGAGTCGCCGCTCCCCTCTCCAGCCCAGCCCTTGAACTTCAAGGTACCCACCCCTCTGGCCCGTCCACCCGGGTCCTTCTGGTCGGTTACACTCTCGGGGGCGGGGAAGGCAATGCTCGGACTCCTGGGTTCTCTTCTGAGGCTGGGGCTTGGGGACTCTGTGCGTGCGGAGCGCCGGCTAGGGAAGGCGGCGGGGAGTGGTTGGGGGTTGTTAGTGTTGACGCCCGGGAGTGGGGAGATGAAGCAGCTTTTTGGTCTGTGGACGATTTGGGGGGGGAGGGGGAGGAAGAGAGGGTGGGAAGGATTTTGGGTTGGGCAAACAGTGCGTTGCTCACAATATGTGCGTGCAAATCATGAGATATAGGCGGTGCGCCAGTGGAACTCACGGCCACCAGGTTTGGAACCGATGCTCTGAAAGAATCCATTGTTGAACACACTGGCTTATGATTCTCTTGCACCCCCTCCTTTCTCCAAGCAATTGAAGCTTCAGCTTTGCAAGGGGGGTGGGAAGGGACTTTGAAGACCTGTGGGAAAATACTCTTATTGGTGATAGAACCTCTCTCTCCAGGAGCTCTGTGTTCCATAAGCTGCTGGCTGCTGTTGGAAGCGGGCTGCAGGCTTAGATGAGCACCACTGGTCCAATCCAGCCAGAGGATTCTTGGATTCTGTTGCCAAATCTGAAAGTCTATTTACAGTGTGTTCAGCTTAAGAAGGAGTGAGGCGGAAGAGTGCTAATCTCAGTAAGCCAATGTTAGCCCCGGCCTCGCAACCCTGCCCTTCTGAACCGAGTGATTTGGGAAGTTACCTGTTGAATCTCACACGCCCACAATTTCGGATGTATCTGCATTCTACATTTATACGGACTTGATATCAGCTTTTTACCCAAAGCATTCTGGGAAATGTAGTTTACTAAGAGGTGCCAAGGAATTCCCTGTACTCGTGAGCTATCCATGCCCATTGCAGACCCACAAAATCCTGGGTTTCCCTGGGGATAGGTAAAGGCAAAGATAAAGGGACCCCTGACCGTTAGGTCCAGTCGTGACCGACTCTGGGGTTGCGGCGCTCATCTCGCTTTACTGGCCGAGGGAGCCGGTGTACAGCTTCCGGGTCATGTGGCCAGCATGACTAAGCCACTTCTGGCAAACCAGAGCAGCGCACGGAAACACCGTTTACCTTCCTGCCGGAGTGGTACCTATTTATCTACTTGCACTTGACGTGCTTTTGAACTGCTAGGTTGGCAGGAGCAGGGACCCAGCAATGGGAGCTCACCCTATCGTGGGGATTCGAACTGCCGACCTTCTGATCAGAAAGCCCTAGGCTCTGTGGTTTAACCCACGGCGCCACCCACATCCCTGGGGATACAGCATTGCTATTAAAGCTGCATAACTGTGCTGTAGGACTAGGGAAACTGTAAACCAGCCTTCCCAACCTGGTGTCTTCCAGCAGTTTTGCACTACAGTTCCCATCATCCCCAACCAATGGTTAAACTATGGGACTATGCCCTCCACACCTGAAGGCAGAAATGCCTCTGAATGGCAGTTGCTGGAAACCACAGAAGGGGGAAGGGGGCTCTCGTGCCCAAATCCTGCTTGCGAGTTTCCCTTTGAAGCATCTGGTTGGCCACTGTAAGAACTGGATGATAGACTAGAGAGACCATTGACCTGGTCTTAAATTCTTCTAGGAAGGCTGTCTTTAATACTGCCTCCTATCAGTTCTGTTGTTGTTGTTTAGTCGTTTAGTCGTGTCCGACTCTTCATGACCCCCTGGACCAGAGCACGCCAGGCACTCCTGTCTTCCACCGCCTCCCGCAGCTTGGTCAAACTCATGCCGGTAGCTTTGAGAACACTGTCTAACCATCTCGTCCTCTGTCGTCTTTGAAAACTGGAACAGGGGAACTGCAACAATTGCATCAAAAATCTATGGGATTAAGGAGGAGAGCGTGTGGGGCAACTCATGGGTGAGGGGGAATTAAAGGGGTTCACAAACCAGGCCCCCAGTTACTGGCCATACTTGGGGAAAGAAACTTAAAAGCAGGGCTCCGTGTGAAACCCCTGAATTGCAGTTCAACTCTCTTCACTGAGGTCTGAATCAACGATTTCCTTTCCCATTGCAGAGGTTGAAGTCAGCACTGTCAAATTGATTGCTTATTATTATTATTATTTATTAGATTTGCGGTATATGCCGCCCATTATAAAAAAAACCCCTCAGGGCAGTGTGCAACATTAAAACATATTTTACAGAGCATAATAATAATAACAACATAAAACAAAGCACAGTAATCAAAAAATCATAATAACAGTTGTCCACCTCACCTTTAACAATCCATAGATTATTTAATGGCTGAAGGCCAGGGTAAAGAGGAAACGTTTTGCCTGGCGCTTATAGACGTGTAATTATGGCACCAGGTGAGCCTCTCTGGGGAGAGCATTCCGCAAAATGGGGAGCCACCACAGAGAAGGACCCGTTCTCTTGCTACCACCCTCCAAACCTCTTGGGCAGGAGGGACACAGAGAAAGGTCTCAGGTGACAAGCGCAGGGTGTTTTAATACCTATGAGTTTGCCATCTGAGCTTTGAGCATCCCTGTGGTGAAGTGGTGAGAGTGTCAGACTAGGACCTCTGGGTCTTGGGTTCAAATCCCCGCTCAGCCGTGAAGCTCACTAGGCCAGTCGCTGCCTCTCGATCTAGCCTACCTCACAGGGTTGTTGTGGAGGTTACATGAGGCGGTGTAGATTCGTGTACGCCACCTTGAGCTCCTTGCAGGATAAGGTGGGGGTGTGAATGCAATAAATAAAATACAATCTCACTCCAAAAGGAACATTATCATTTCCAAATGCATCCAGTAACTTGTTGTTGTGGTTGTTTGGTATCTGTCTTGGGAGACAATGGAGGAGTTCGCCTTTGGGGGTGAAGTCAAACCGTTGGAGAATCACAGCGCCTGCTGTGGCTGTAGAGACCGATAGAGGAGAGAAATGTTTTGTTGCAGCCGGGGCAGAGGAAGGCGTCTGGTTGTGCTGCTGTAGATGCACCATTTTTACTTAGAAAGCCAGGCTTTTTTGGGGGGGGGATGGGGGGGTAGAGAGATTGCTGAGGACATCACCCCCAGTAAACTGGGAGGAGACTCAAAAGGGGAAGAGATTGGGGGTGGAAAAAGAGAACTGCCATTGGTTCTCCTCTCTCCGTGGTAAGTAAATGCTTATTTCATTGGGGGTAAAGTTCTTAAATCTTTCACCGCCTGTGGTTGAAATGGCAGCTATTGGTGATTAAGCATGAAATATTAATGCCGGAGGAGAATTCTGTCTTATTTAAAATAAAAATATATATCAATGCAGCTCCAAGTTAAAATTGTGGTAGATGCATAGCCCACAGAGGTCTAACAATTGTGCGTGATGGGAATAAAGTATGCATGCACTGATTTATCAGCACATAATCACTGTGGGTTAAACCATAGGGCCTAGGACTTGCCAATCAGAAGGTCGGCGGTTCGAATTCCCACGACGGGGTGAGCTCCCGTTGCTCGGTCCCTGCTCCTGCCCACCTAGCAGTTCGAAAGCACGTCAAAGTGCAAGTAGATAAATAGGTACCGCTCCGGCGGGAAGGTAAACAGCGTTTCCGTGCGCTGCTCTCGTTCGCCAGAAGTGGCTTAGTCATGCTGGTCACATGACCCGGAAGCTGTCTGCGGACAAACGCCAGCGCCCTCGGCCAATAAAGTGAGATGAGCGCCGCAACCCCAGAGTCGGCCACGACTGGACCTAACGGTCAGGGGTCCCTTTACCCTTTACCTTAATTCTGGTTGCAAACTTCAGGTTCCTGCAGGGAAACTGATTATGGACCATGCATCCTGACTGGTTTGCTCGGAGGTTATACTCAAGTTCTCTCTTTGCTGATCTGTTTGCTGGGAGGTTGTACGCCAAAGACCTTCCACCCTGATCTGTTGTGGGGAGGTATATGACTTCCTGCCAATCAGTTGCTATTCCACGCTTTGTATTGCCTTCCCTGTCACTTTCCTAACTGCAAAAATCCCTCTTTGGTGCGACAGAGCACTTTAACCTACCTCAGTTGCACAAACCAACATTTCCAGCATGTGACTGAACCCTGCCTGCAAAATGGCGACAGTCTGGGGTTGATTTGGTTTATTTTCATCTTCGGAGAGGTGTTTGCATATAGCCCAGAGTCCTGGGGAGTAGTTGATGAAGGAAGATGTCCCCAGCACTTACCATATTTTTCGCTCTATAAGACGCACTTTTTCCCTCCTAAAAAGTAAGGGGAAATGTGTGTGCGTCTTATGGAGCGAATGCAGGCTGCACAGCTATCCCAGAAGCCAGAACAGCAAGAGGGAACAGCGATCCCTCTTGCTGTTCTGGCTTCTGGGATTCAGAATATTTTTTTTCTTGTTTTCCTCCTCCAAAAACTAGGTGCATCTTGTGGTCTGGTGCGTCTTGTAGAGCGAAAAATACGGTAACTTGTAAACAGAGGCTAAGAGGCTCAAAGAAATACATATCTTGTTTAAATATATAAAAAAATAAAAAAATTGTCCAGTAGCACCCTAGAGACCAACGAAGTTTATTCTTGGTATAAGCTTTCATGTGCACGCACACTTCTCCAGATGCCTCAGATACTTCAGATATCTTGTTTATTTATCCTTGCTCCTGGAAGCCAGTCCTCTAGTTCAGAAGTGGGGGAACCAGACATTGCTGAACTACAACTCCCATAATCCCTGGGAAGCGTGGCCAATGGCCAGAGCTGAAGGGAGTTGTAGTTTGGCAAAATCTGGAGGGTCAAAGCTTCCTCCCACCTGCTTTCGTTCTTTCACCCACAGATGACCACAGAAGCCCCTCACCCCTGCCAATTCAATCTTTTGAGGCCCGGAATCTCCTTTAGACAAACATACGCGCTTCCTTCTTTTCCCATATGGTAGATACTGTTTTCAGTATTTGGCTGGCCACTGTAAGAGCAGAATGCTTTGTGAGATGCTTTGTGACCTGATCCCAGCAGCTATATGTTATTCTGCTGTTTTTTCGCGGCAGAATTAAAATGTACCCTTGAAGCTTTTGTATTGACCACGCTTGATGGGCGGGAATAGAAGAGCCTAAGGTAAAGGTAAAGGGACCCCTGATCATTAGGTCCAGTCTTGGCCGACTCTGGGGTTGCAGCGCTCATCTCACTTTATTGGCCGAGGGAGCCGGCATACAGCTTCCGGGTCATGTGGCCAGCAGGACTTAGCCGCTTCTGGCGAACCAGAGCAGCGCACGGAAACGCCGTTTGCCTTCCCGCCGGACCGGTACCTATTTATCTACTTGCACTTTGACGTGCTTTCGAACTGCTAGGTTGGCAGGAGCAGGGACCGAGCAACGGGAGCTCACCCCGTAATGGGGATTCGAACCGCTGACCTTCTGATCGGCAAGTCCTAGGCTCTGTGGTTTAACCCACAGCACCAAGAGCTTAGAAACCTCCTATTTCCCCAAATCTTAAGGCGTAGCAGAGTTGGGTGCTGGAGGGTCTTAGAACAGGGGCCAGCAAACTTTTTCAGCAGGGGTCCACTGTCCCTCAGACCATGTGGGGGGGGGGCCGGACTATATTTTGAAAAAAAATATGAACGAATTCCTATGCCCCACAAATAACCCAGAGATGCATTTTAAATAAAAGGACACATTCTACTCATGTAAAAACATGCTGATCCTCGGACCGTCCACGGGCCAGATTGAGAAGACGATTGGGCTGGATGCGGCCCCCGGGCCTTAGTTTGTCTACCCATGGTCTAGAGGCAAGATTCCCAAACTTTGCTGGGTTCAGCCTCCTTGGTTGCATAAACTCATCCCAAATACCTGCTCCTCTAGCATGATTCAGAATAGCAATATGCACGGCAGACCAAGAAAGGTAGTAACACAATAAATTTAAAGCGGTGACAACATGCCAGTCAGCTGCCTTGGGAAAAAACAGGGCGTCCTGTTTCTTCTGGCAAGAGGATAGTAGCAAAAATGGTGCCCCCAAAAAGGACTTGGGTGGGGGGCAGTGATCTTAAGTGGCTCCCCAAAGCATGTATTTTGGGGTGCTGTGCCTGAAAAGTGCTTGGGGGGGCGCAATCTCATGTGGGTCACATGACTCACGCGGGATTGTGGACCCAGGAGATGGCACCCCAGATTTGGGCTGCTTCGTTTTGGAAGACATGTAACATTAAATTGCACATTTATTCAATGTCCAGTGGAAGCTATTCAGTTTAATTAACTTGACAAGGCCCCTTTGCCCCTTAGCACCCACCTAAGGAATCCCCTCCCAAAGGGGCAGTACCCCCCCACTTTGGGAACCGCTGGTCTAGAGAGCGGTCTTTCTGGTAAAGGTAAAGGGACCCCTGACCATTAGGTCCAGTCGTGGCCGACTCTGAGGTTGCGGCGCTCATCTCGCTTTACTGGCTGAGGGAGCCGGCGTACAGCTTCCGGGTCATATGGCCAGCATGACTAAGCCGCTTCTGGCGAACCAGAGCAGCGCACGGAAACGCCGTTTACCTTCCCACCGGAGCGGTACCTATTTATCTACTTGCACTTTGTGCTTTCGAACTGCTAGGTTGGCAGGAGCTGGGACCGAGCAACGGGAGCTCACCCCGTCACGGGGATTCGAACCACCAACCTTCTGATCGGCAAGTCCTAGGCTCTGTGGTTTAATCCACAGCACCAGCCGCGTCCCCTAAATCTGATGTTTGGTCAAGCACTTGCCTCCCATTGCTCTTGGGACTGACCTGTTCCACAGCTGAAACACCTTAATTTTGGTATAGATATTTCCCAAATGTCTGAACAGCCCAAGGCAAGCGAGAATGGCTTGCAAGCTAAACACTGGTAAAAGAATGCTCCACAACGCCATTCTTTTCAAATTAGCATCATATCCTTTGTTTTCATTTTGATTATAATTGTGCAATAAAACCCATCCACCCAGCGTTTCTGTGATATATTTCTCTCTCTCCCTGCCTGAGTACCATGCGTTTTTTCAAATACAATCAGGAGCATTCATAAAGCGGTACAATAAAGCACCGCAGAAACAACAGATTAATAATAATAAAAACCCCCTCATCATCTTGGGACCCTAATTAAAAACACAAGAAGACGCCTGCCAGAATATCTGCTATGTGCGTCGGATGGTGTAGACTCTGGTCCACAAAATGATGGATGGGCTGGTTTTAAGGCGCTCTAAGATTATTTGTGGTTCTGCCTCAGCCATTTGCCAACCTAGTGCCCAGCATCCGTGGCTGGCACGGCTGGGAGTTGTGATCCAAAACATCTGGAGGGCACCAGGTTGGCGATGACTGTTTTTGTAGTGGTGATAAAATCTTAAGACTGTGCCTGCATCAAAACAAGGCTATTCACAGAAGAGGCTGGTCCGTTAAAGAAAATGGGGCCCTGCCCCACCCGCCTCTGCTCTTACCCCGGTTTACCTGCCTTCTAACTTAACAACCATGGGTGGCGCTGTGGGTTAAACCACAGAGCTTAGGACTTGCCGATCAGAAGGTTGGCGGTTCGAATCTCCGCGACGAGGTGAGCTCCCGTTGCTTGGTCCCTGCTCCTGCCAACCTAGCAGTTTGAAAGCACACTAGTGCAAGTAGATAAATAGGTACCGCTCCGGCGGGAAGGTAAACGGCGTTTCCGTGTGCTGCTCTGGTTCGCCAGAAGCGGCTTAGTCATGCTGGCCGCATGGCCCGGAAGCTGTACGCCGGCTCCCTTGGCCAATAAAGCGAGATGAGCACCGCAACCCCAGAATTGGTCACGACTGGACCTAATGGTCAGGGGTCCCTTTACCTTTAACTTAACAACCAGTCCAGGGGGTGGCGCTGGCACCCAGCTTCCTCCTTTAGTCTCCTTCTGTGTTGCCCTTTCAGGACTCTGCAGGGAGAAGCATGGGGACAAAGCTTCTGCCTGTCGTTGGCTCTGGCGCCACCTGCTGTTGGGCTTCCTACCTTTTGCCCTACCAGCTCCAGCGAACACCAGCCCTCTGGTTCGGTGAATCTCTTTGCTCCCAGTTCCTAAAATAAGACTGACGGGGGCAGCCTGTGCACTCCTCTTATGCTCTGCATCCCACACGCTCCCCTTGCCAGTTTGGGAAGCGGCGATAATGTGACGTTGGCCGCAGTCCATACCTATCTTGTTATTTCGATGTGTTTCCCTCCAAACCAGCTTTGGTCCTAATTGAGAATGACCTGGCTGCATTTGAAGCCGGTAATGTGTACACAGGGACGCGGGTGGCGCTGTGGGTTAAACCACAGAGCCTAGGACTTGCCGATCAGAAGGTTGGCGGTTCGAATCCCCGTGATGGGGTGAGCTCCCATTGCTCGGTCCCTGCTCCTGCCCACCTAGCAGTTCAAAAACACATCAAAGTGCAAGTAGATAAATAGGTACCACTCTGGCGGGAAGATAAACGGCATTTCCGTGCACTGCTCTGGTTCACCAAAAGTGGCTTAGTCATGGAGTGTAGCATCAATAGGAGTATAGCATCTAGATCAAGGGAAGTAATAGTGCCACTGTATTCTGCTCTGGTCAGACCTCACCTGGAGTACTGTGTCCAGTTCTGGGCACCACAGTTCAAGAAGGACACTGACAAACTGGAACGTGTCTAGAGGAGGGCAACCAAAATGGTCAAAGGCCTGGAAATGATGCCTTATGAGGAACGGCTAAGGGAGCTGGGCATGTTTAGCCTGGAGAAGAGGAGGTTAAGGGGTGATATGATAGCCATGTTCAAATATATAAAAGGATGTCACATAGAGGAGGGAGAAAGGTTGTTTTCTGCTGCTCCAGAGAAGCGGACACGGAGCAATGGATCCAAACTACAAGAAAGAAGATTCCACCTAAACATTAGGAAGAACTTCCTGACAGTAAGAGCTGTTCAACAGTGGAATTTGCTGCCAAGGAGTGTGGTGGAGTCTCCTTCTTGGGAGGTCTTTAAGCAGAGGCTTGACAACCATATGTCAGGAGTGCTCTGATGGTGTTTCCTGCTTGGCAGGGGGTTGGACTCGATGGCCCTTGTGGTCTCTTCCAACTCTATGATTCTATGATTCTATGCTGGCCACATGACCCGGAAGCTGTATGCCGGCTCCCTTAGCCAGTAAAGCAAGATGAGCGCCGCAACCCCAGAGTCGGCCATGACTGGACCTAATGGTCAGGGGTCCCTTTACCTTTTAATGTGTACACAAGCTGGTAACGGATACACAGCCAGAATCTCAGCTTGGAAAGGAGTCCCCAACCCTCTGTCCTGGAAGCTACTTCCCTCTCCCTCCACCCAAATACATGACGCATAGTTACTGGAGTGCAAAGGAGCTCTGGTCAGCCCCCTGTGCCCCCTGCCCCTTTCCCTTCAGCATTTTGCCTTTGGACCCCCCTCCCCAAACCCTGCCCACCTGCCCTGTACTCCTTCCAGGTGGGCTTTCACCCCCCTCCCGAAAGTTGCGCTGTTGGTGAGCATTCCGTTGAAGGCACCCTGTACGGTGACAATGTCCGTGATGACCTCACATGACAAAAGCTTGACCAATGGCGGGTTAACAGGTCACAGAAGCCACTTGCTGATTTGTGCATAAGGATCACGGTATTTAACTAGAAATCCATTGTCCGTGCACAAAGAGGGGCTGTATTCTTGGTCCGCTGACTAGCGTTAAATTCAAGCAGTGCTCTCGACCGTTCCTGGCGTCCAGTAAAAAGGAAAAAGTCACGCGGCTTCTCCTCTTGGCTGGTTCTGGTACAATCGCCTCCCTCCTGCTCTTTTCCTTTATGGCAGGAGAGAAACCGCGCCCTTGTCAGAGTCTCTGAAGCATAGAGGAGCTTGGCTGGATCCGGCCAGTTGCCCATCCAGTCCAGTATCCTGGTCTCTCGGCGGCCAGCCTGCAAGCCGGATCTGAGCATCACAGCCACTTTGTGACCCACAGCAACTGGTCTTCAGACAGTGGAGACAGAATCACAGACCTGTCGAGTATAATAATAATAATAATAATAATAATAATAATAATTTTTATTTATATCCTGCCCTCCCCAGCCAAGGCCAGGCTCAGGGCGGCTAACAAGCAATAATAAAAACAAGTTGGATGAATACAACTGAAAAACAAGATTAAAATGCAACATTAAAATATTGAAACATTAAAACATTAAAATGCAGCCTCATCACAGGAGGAGAAAGGAAAAGGAAAAAAGAAAGAGGGGGAGGGAATCAAACTGGCTCCAAGCCAAAGGCCAGGCGGAACAACTCTGTCTTACAGGCCCTGCGGAAAGAAATCAGATCCTGCAGGGCCCTGGTCTCATGAGACAGAGCGTTCCACCAGGCAGGGGCCAGTGTTGAAAAGGCCCTGGCTCTGGTTGAGGCTAATCTAACTTCCTTAGGGCCCGGGACCTCTAGGGTGTTGCTATTTATGGACCTTGAGGCTCTCCGTGGGGCATACCAGGAGAGGCGGTCCCGTAGGTACGAGGGTCCTAGGCCGTGAAGGGCTTTAAAGGTCAAAACCAGCACCTTAAATCTGACCCTGTACTCCACCGGGAGCCAGTGCTGCTGGAAAAGCACTGGGTGAATCTGCTCCCATGGCAGAGAGTCCAACCCCTTGCAATGCAGATAGAACTGCGGAATTTTTACTGTGCCCTTTGGAACTCCCTGCCTCTTGACACCAGGCAGGGGCACTTTTTGGCACCATTTTCGTTTAGGCGACAGAGTGTTTGCTTTAATCTGTTCTTCGTTTATGGCTGGTTTTATCTTTTGAGTGCTTTATAGAGTTCTTTTTTTACTTTTCTTCATTTTCTTCAGTATATCGCTTTGAGTTTTTCTTCCAACAAGCAAACGGTGTGTGCATTTTAATAATAATAATAATAATAATAATAATAATAATAATAATATCTTTATTGTCATTGCCCCCTTCGGGGACAACGAAATTACTTGACTGCTCCATAAAAACTCTAATTAATCAATACAGTATAATACAGCAAGGGAGATTAGATGACTTTCAAAGTCCGGGCTTCCCATTCAGGGCCGAGATCGCTCTGGAGAAGAAGCTGTTCTTAAGACGGCTCGTTCTTGTCTTCATCGTCCTGTATCTCCGTCCCGACGGCAAGAGCTCGAAGAGACAGTGACCAGGATGCGATGGATCTTTTACTATGTCCAGTGCCTTCCTATGGCACCTTGTGGCATAAATCTGCTCTAAGGTGGAGAGTGGGCAGCCAACAATGCTCTCTGCTGCCTTAACAACCCTGCACAACCCCATCCTGTCCTGGAAATAAACAAGCATGAAATAAACAAGCATAGACATCATGGAAAGCCAGCCTAAGCTGGGCAGAAGATCTCCTAGCCACAGAAAAAGCTTTAGGGGGAATATCTTCCCATGAATTGGATGACTTCCCTATGTCTTCTCAGGCAGGTGGGGCCTGGCTGAGGGCGGGCAAATGTTATCTTTCTTATTTTTTTTTAATAATAATAATAATAATAATTATAATAATTTATTTGTACCCTGCCCATCTGGCTGAGTTTCCTCAGCCACTCTGGGTGGCTTCCACAAAGACCAAAAATACACTAAGATGTCACACATTAAAAACTTCCCTGAACAGGGCTGCCTTCAGATGTCTTCTGAATGTCAAGTAGTTGTTTATCTCTTTGATATCTGTGGGAGGGCGTTCCACGGGGCGGGTGCCACTACCGAGAAGGCCCTCTGCCTGGTTCCCTGTAACTTGGCTTCTCACAGCAAGGGAACTGCCAGAAGGCCCTCGGCACTAGACCTCAGTGTCTGGGCAGAACGATGGGGGTGGAGACGCTCCTTCAGGTATACTGGGCCGTGGCCGTTTAGGGCCTTAAAGGTCAACACCATCACTTTGAATTGTGCTCGGAAACGTACTGGGAGCCAATGTAGGTCTTTCAAGACCGGTGTTATGTGGTCTCGGCGGCTGCCCCCAGTCACCAGTCTAGCTGCAGCATTCTGGATTAGTTGTAGTTTCCTGGTCACCTTCAAAGGTAGCCCCACGTAGAGCGCATTGCAGTAGTCCAAGCGGGAGATAACCAGAGCTGCACTACTCTGGCAAGGCTGTCCGCGGGCAGGTAGGGTCTCAGTCTGCGTACCAGATGGAGCTGGTAGACAGCTGCCCTGGATACAGAATTGACCTGCACCTCCATGGACAGCTGTGAGTCCAAAATGACTCCCAGGCTGCGCACCTTGTCCTTCAGGGACCAGGGAGTCCTCCACACCAGCCCACCCCCTGTCCCCCCAAAACAGTACTTTTGTCTTGTCAGGATTCAACCTCAATCCATTAGCCACCATCCACCCTCCAATCGCCTCCAGGCACTATTAATTTGGAATGAGTTTACACAGATATATTAGGTTACTGACAATTATATGTGTATTAGGATAATAAGAATATACACATCTGTATTTTAATGTCTGGTAATACTACATCATTTCTTTCTTTCTTTCTTTCTTTCTTTCTTTCTTTCTTTCTCGCTTGCTTTTTTCCCTTTCCTTTCCCCCTCTATTTATGAATGAAATTCCCTGAGTAAAATATCAATAAAATATTATCAATTAGATTTATATGCTGCCCTTCATCGCAAGATCTCAGCGCGGTTCACAGGCTAAAAACACAAGGTGAAAACACAAGAGTTAAAATGAAAACAACAAAACAATAACCCGACACGCATTTAAAAGGCTGTAAATATTACTCAGCCTTGTAAAACGAAAAAATACAAATTAGCATATAACACTTAAGAACAATTTAAAACATGCCCCCAATAAACAGCACCCACCTGTTTAAACCGCATCCCCATTAAAAACCATAATTTTAGCACAAGGGGGCTGACAGGATCCCCACCAGCCCTAGGGGACCAGTCTTGACTGTTCTCCCCCCGTCTAGGTAAAAAAAAGGTAAAGGGCCCCTGGACGGTTAAGTCCAGTCAAAGGCGACTATGGGGTTGCAATGCTCATCTCGCTTTCAGGCTGAGGGAGCTGGCATTTGTCCGCAGACAGCTTTCCGGGTCATGTGGCCAGCATGACTAAACCGCTCGGGGTAATTCATTCTGGAGGTCCGTTCTTAACCTGAAACTGTTCTTAACCTGAGGTACCACTTTAGCTAATGGGGCCTCCTGCTGCCGCCGCCATTCGATTTCTGTTCTCATCCTGAAGCAAAGTTCTTAACCCGAGGTACTATTTCTGGGTTAGCGGAGTCTGTAACCTGAAGCATCTGTAACCTGAAGTGTCTGTAACCCGACGTACCACTGTATGGGGTTGCGGTGCTCATCTCACTTTCAGGCCAAGGGAGCCGGCGTTTGTCCGCAGACAGCTTTCCGGGTCATGTGGCCAGCATGACTAAACCACTTCTGGCACAACAGAACACCGTGATGGAAACCAGAGCACATAGAAACACCATTTACCTTCCTGCCACAGTGGTGTCTATTTATCTACTTGCACTGGCGTGCTTTCGAACTGCTAGGTTGGCAGGAGCTGGGACAGAGCAACAGAAACTCATCCTATAATGGGGATTCGAACCGCCGACCTTCTGATCGGCAAGCCCAAGAGGCTCAGTGGTTTAGACAAAGCAGCAGAGGCTGAGAGAGAGAATCTCTTTGCTGCTGTCCCTGCTGCCACGTGGCAGGGAAGGCTGAGCCCTTGCCGCTCTGTTGGGTCAATGCGCAACGGGCGCAACGGGCCCTCTAATGGACGCCAGCTGGCTTCACTGCCCAGAGCCCCTCAGAAAACCAAGGAGCCTCCCAGATTCCATTTGCTCAGAGAGAGGAGCAATCCATTTTGTAATCTGCTTTGAGATTTTTTCCTTTAAAATATAAAGCAATGTAGAAATGATGGTGACAACCACATCACATAGCCTTAACAGGAGCAGCAGCCATGCTAACTAGAAAATTCTCATCCCTGAACACCTCCTCTTTTGACCAAGTATTCAGTTTCCAAGAACAGCAGCTGGGCGGGGGGCTGTCACAAAAAAAAGTCAACATTCTCGGACCCCATCCCCTTCCCTTTCTGGAAATTTTTTGATCCATGCTTCCATGCCAACCCTCTCCTTGTTTTGACATTCCAGACCTCCTTGCCTTCACAGACTTGCTGAGTCAGGCCCTGGTGCAGTCGACAGATCTGAGTCATCTTTTTGGATTGGCCAGGTCTCCTGCCTTTTCTTGTCTCGGAGACTGGTGTGTTTGTGTGTGTCAGAGGGGTCATCTGTGCTTACCCTTCCGCCATATTGATGTCCTCGCCTTCCGCAGTCCGGCTCTGAGCTAGGCTGGGGGTTGATAACACGCATGAGTACAGTGATACCTCGGGTTAAGAACTTAATTCGTTCTGGAGGTCCGTTCTTAACCTGAAACTGTTCTTAACCTGAAGCATCACTTTACCTAATGGGGCCTCCCGCTGCCACCGCGCGATTTCTGTTCTCATCCTGAAGCAAAGTTCTTAACCCGAGGTACTATTTCTGGGTTAGCAAAGTCTGTAACCTGAAGCATCTGTAACCCACAACATGCATCACAACATGCATCACAAAGGCTTTAGAAAAATCCACTTTTGGAATCTGGATTGGAAACATCTTGCGGTCGGAGGTGGGGAAAAGGTTGCTTTCTTTTGTTGTTGCTGCTGTCTTTTATTTCTGCGCCGTGCCATAGAGTAGAATAGAATAGGAGAGTTGGGAGGGACACCTGGGGGCCATCTAGTCCAACCCCTTGCGACAGAATGTTTAACTTTGCACTGTGCGAAGAAATCCTTTTCTTTTATCTGCCCTGAATCTTCCAACGTTCAGCGTCCTTGAATGCACACAATTTCTAGTGTTATGAGGAGAGAGGAAGAAAAACCTCCCTCCCTCCAATTTTCACCATGCCAGGCGTGCTTTTATAAACTTGTCTCCTCTGACTTGCCTTTTCTCTAATAATAATAATAATAATAATAATAATAATAATAATAATAATATATTTTTATTTATATCCCGCCCTCCCCAGCCGAAGCTGGGCTCAGAGCGGCTAACAACAATAAAAGTAACACAGCATTCTAAAATCAATTCATTTTAAAATCAATTCAAAATCCAATTAATGGCAACTATTGGGCTAGAGTTCTGTGAGGATTACCAAAGGAGGGGGTCAGGCCGTGCCTTGGCCAAAGGCCTGGTGGAACAGCTCTGTCTTGCAGGCCCTGTAGAAAGATGTCAAGTCCTGCAGGGCCCTGGTCTCTTGTGACAGAGCATTCCACCAGATCGGGGCCACAGCCGAAAAAGCCCTGGCTCTGGTTGAGGCCAGCCTAACCTCTCTGTGGCCTGGGACCTCCAAGATGTTTTTGTTTGAAGACCGTAAGGTCCTCCGTGGGACATACCAGGAGAGGCGGTCCCGTAGGTATGAGGGTCCTAGGCTGTGAAGGGCTTTAAAGGTCAAAACCAGCACCTTGAACCTGATCCTGTACTCCACCGGGAGCCAGTGCAGCTGGTATAGCACCGGGTGAACATGATCCCGCAGCGAGGACCCCGTAAGGAGTCTCACCGTGGCTTTCTGCACCCACTGGAGTTTCTGGGTCAGTCTCAAGGGCAGCCCCACGTAGAGTGTTGAGTGTGTCCCTTCACCTTTCCGGACTATTTCAATACAGTCCGGTCACATGTGGACAGGGATGGTGGGTGAGCAATAGGCCGGGCCGAGAAGATGACTAGTCCAGCAGGAAGGTCAGGCAAACACCATAAAACGCTTGAAGCTTTGCTCTAATGGAGGATGGGGTGGGCGACTTACTGAAACTCAGAACGGTGCAAGGAGCTGGGTAAATACTAAAAAATATGGCAGGTATGTTGACGACAGGAGAGATAAAGGGGGGAGGAAGAGGTGTCATGGGGCAAGGAGGGGCATTTTGGTGGTTTATGGTGGGACAATGTAATTCGGGTAAAGGTTGACGGAGGGGAGGGAGATCTTTGGAGAGGACAGGGGGCAGGAGATTTCTTCAGCAAAGGTTGTGCAGCCGCCCTCGCTCAAATGTTCTTCCATTATTTATTTCCTCCTTGCCACTTCCAGTGATCTCATGCAGGCCCCCGGGGTCAGGGAACCGGACTGTGTGCGTTTAGTGCCTTAATTTCCCCAACCGACAGTGTCTTCCAACCTCCAGATATTTTGGATTGCAACTCCCCAACGCCTGGAGCGCTTCTGAGCACAGCTCTAGGAGATTATTCCTTCTGGACGTGTTTATCTAAAGGAGCAAAGATCTGTGTGGGGCGCTGGATCATAGCTGTCAACCGTCCCTTATTTGGCGGGAAAGTCCCTTACCCCAGCGCCGTGTCCCGCTGCTGTCCCTTATTGATGATGTCCCTTAAATTTCCCGGGTTTCAAAGGAAGCAGCTCCTCTCCCTCCCTCCCTGCCGACCTGGGAGGAGGGAGGCTCCAACTGTGTTGCTTGGCTGCGTTGCTCACCCAATAAGGAGTCTAAGAACGACTGGGGGGTGGAGCTTGCATGCCTTGTGCCGATCAAATCGGCCGCGTTGCCTGAGGACTCGCCTTTGCTCAGCGCTTCCCAGTGGAGAGTGATGGTGGTTTTCCTTGCTGCATCCCCTTTGCTGGGTTGCTGCGCTGTGGGAACCACCGCTTGAGGCTTCGTTTGGCTGCTGGCTGGGCTTTCTGCCTTTGGCTGGGAGGGGCTCAGAAGTTGAACATACCTGTGCTCTGAAAATCCCTTATTTTGGCTGCCGATCCCTTATTTTCAAGGCTGCCGGTCCCTTATTTTCAAATCTGTAAGTTGACAGCTATGCGCTGGATACCAGGGGACGGCCCTCGAAGGCACAACCCAGTTGCAGGCGGATTTCTCAGAAATCTGCGGGAAGTGCCCTTTTTGTTGTGTTACGCAGGAAGTTGCATTCTACTGAGTCGGGCCATTGCCCTATTTGGCTCATTGTTGCCTACACAGACTGGCAGCAGCAGGTCTTTGGGGTTTCAGAGAGGAAACATCCTCATCCCTCATGGAAGATGCTACTGAGGAACGAATCTGGGTCCTTCTGCCCCTGAGATGCAGCCCAGGTTCATGGAATTGGAGAAGAAATAGAACACACACAAACATACATATCCGATCTTCGGGGAAAGCTGCTGTCTCTCTCTCTTTTATAATGATTTTTATTGAGTTTTCCATATTTAATTACATTGCATTACACAAATCTATAACATAAAGCATTGCTCCAACGGAGCATCGACTTCCCTCCCTCTTTCTGACTTCCCAACATCTTTTAATAAATTCTTCCCATTTCTACAGCCACTTTTTAACTTATACTGTATCTTCTTTTCTTTTTTTAAAATCACCTCCTTATATGTAAATCGGTTCCTTATTTTCACATCACAAAGCATTTCAATTCAAACCTACAAACGTTTTCAAATGTTTACAATTTTCTTTCATATGAAATATAAATTTGCTCCAGTTCTTCTGAAACAGTTCGTCTTGCCGATTCCGGATCTTCCCCGTCAGCTTTGCCATCTCCACATATTCTACCATTTTTATCTGCCATTCTTCCAATGTAGGAATTCCCTGCAGCTTCCATTTCTGGGCCAGGAGTATTATTGCAGCCGTTGTGGCATACATAAACAAACTTACATCTTTAGTTCTGAATTTCCTCTCCAATTAACCCTAACAAAAATGCCTCTGGTTTTTTACTGAAATTATATTTAAAAACCTTTTTCAACTCATTATATATTGTATCCCAGAAGGCTTTCACCTTGGTACAAGTCCACCACATATGAAGGAAATTCCCCTCTTTCTCCTTGCATTTCCAACAGTTTTTATCATGGTTTCTATACATTTTGGCAAGTTTAGTCGGTGTAATGTACCAGCGATACATCATCTTCATTAAATTCTCTTTAAGTGACACACATGCTGTAAATTTAATTGTTTTTGTCCATAATTTCCCCCACCTTTCAAAGTCAATATGATGTCCCAAATCCTGGGGCCATCTAATCATAACACTTTTTACCTCTTCATCCTTTGTAGGAAAGCCGCTGTCTCTGTCTCTTTCTCTCTCTCAAAGGGAGTTGTGTCGCTGTCGTCCGCTTGTCAAAACCACCTTTGCATCCTGGCTTTGCTCAGCCTAGGAAGGCTGATCTGATTTCTTCCTAATGGACAGTCCTGGGCCCAGTCTCCGCCAGCCTCCCTCCTCCCTCCTCCCTGGATTCTTATCTTTGGATTTATGAACGGGAGACATGCAGGCAACCGTGTTCTTCCAAAACTGCCTCCCTGCCAGGCGCAGCCAAGGGAAAGAAACTGGATCAGCAGATGTGGGGGGAGGCCTCAGAGACCCCCAGCCTCACTTGACCCAGCCCTCTGCATTTTGCGCCCCGCTCCCCCACTTACTGGGACGGGGCTCTTTGCTTCTTTGGTCTTCGGAAAAGTCCGAAGGAACAAGTTTCCACAGAAAGGGGTTTTTTTTTGCTCTCTCTGTGTTAACAGAACCTCCATCCTCTGACATCTGCACAAGCCAGTCATTGAAACAGAAATTCACTTTGTTAATCTGGGAAGAGACGTCAGGTTTTTTTGCTTTCTCTCTCTCTCCACCCCCCCCTTACAAAGGGAGACTTGCTTTGTCACCTTCAGCGTTGACAAATTGTGTGGCCTGCCCCATGGAACAAAAAAACCCCCAAACCCTGCAAGCAAAAATAATAATAATCTAGCACGCCAGGAGGGCATTTTTAGCCTGTCTGCTTCTGGCTGTGCTAGATTTCTATGTGCAGGGATTTGAGAGTGGCTGTTTCAATACAGTGGTACCTCAGGTTAAGTATTTAATTCATTCCGGAGGTCCGTTTTTAACCTGAAACAGTTCTTAACTTGAAACACCACTTTAGCTAATGGGGCCTCCTGCTGCTGCTGTGCCGCCGGAGCATGATTTCTGTTCTCATCCTGAAGCAAAGTTCTTAACCTGAGGTAATATTTCTGGGTTAGCGGTGTCTGTAACCTGAAGTGTATGTAACCTGAAGCGTATGTAACCCGAGGTACCACTATACAGTGGTACCGTATTTTTCGTCCCATAGGACGCTCCGTCCTATAGGACGCACCTAGTTTTTTGGGGGGGAAATAAAGGAATTTTTCCCCCTTTATTCCCCCCCCCCAAAACCAGGTCGGGGTACAGCGGGATGGCGGCGCTGCGCCTCCCCACTGTCCCCCGAGCTTGTGGGGCTGGCCGATGTCTGCCCCAAGCGTGGGGCGCTCTGCTTCAGCGCGCCCCACGCTCCGTGCAGCAGTCTGCTATCCAAAGCTTAGGGAGCCCTGTGGGAACTCCCGCAAGGCTCCCCACGCTGCGGATGTCTGCCCGGCGCACGGGGCGCTCTGCTTCAAGGTGCCCTGCGCGCTGGGCGGCAGGCTGCTATCCACAGCCCCAGGCTTGCTGATAGCTTCCTGAAGCCTGGAGAGCGAGAGGGGTCGGTGCACACCGACCCCTCTCGCTCTCCAATCTTCAGCAAAAGCCTGTATTTGCCCCATAGGACGCACTTCATTTTTGGAGGGGAAAAAGTGCGTCCTATAGGGCGAAAAATACGGTACTTTGGGTTACAGATGCTTCAGGTTATAGACTCCGCTAACCCAGAAATAGTACCTCGGGTTAAGAACTTTGCTTCAGGATGAGAACAGAAATTGCACAGCGGTGGCACGGCGGCAGCGGGAGGCCCCATTAGCTAAAGTGGTACCTCAGGTTAAGAACAGTTTCAGGTTAAGAACGGACCTCCAGAACAAATTAAGTTCTTAACCCAAGGTACCACTGTACATAGGGGAGCGTTCAGAAGTGGTCTCTTTCACCTGCAGCGGCAATTTGGGTCCAGGACTCGGCTGGCTCATTCTCTCACACGAACAGGCCAGGCCTGTTAACTTCTCTGCAGTTTCACCCAAGGCTCTTTTCTCACAACTGGGGTAGTTGAGCAACAAGGAGGGGTGTGGGTCAGCCACCCCCACTGTGTGTTTAGGGACAGAGCAGGGGTTTGGAACTTCAGATCGGATTTGGTGGAATTATGGAAGTTCAAACGAATCTCTCTCTCCCCTATGCATACATATAGAGGTACAAAGTTCTGAACGTTCAGCTGGATTAGGTTTGACTTTTCAGCGATGCCATTGAAATCCCAGCCGCAAAGTACTCTTGCGACTCAAAAACTGTTCTCTGAAACCTCAATTAGTCTTATTAGTTTATTTCTATCCCCCCTCCCCCATTCCTTCAAGAAGCCCAAGATACATGGTTCTCCTCCTCCTCTTTTAATTCCCACAACAACCCTGTGAGGTAGGTTTGACTGACAGGGAGTGACTGCCTCCATCTCTGAGTGAGGATTTGAACCCTGGTCTCCCAGGTCCTGGGACGCGGGTGGCGCTGTGGGTTAAACCACAGAGCCTAGGATTGGCCGATCAGAAGGTCGGTGGTTCGAATCCCTGCGACGGGGCGAGCTCCCGTTGCTCAGTCCCTGCTCCTGCCAACCTAGCAGTTCAAAAGCACGTCAAAGTGCAAGTAGATAAATAGGTACCACTCTGGCGGGAAGATAAACGGCGTTTCCGTGCACTGCTCTGGTTCGCCAGAAGCGGCTTAGTCCTGCTGGCCACATGACCCGGAAGCTGTACGCCGGCTCCTTCGGCCAAGAAAGCGAGATGAGCGCCGCAACCCCAGAGTCGGCCACGACTGGACCGAATGGTCAGGGGTCCCTTTACCTTACCTTTACTCCCAGGTCCTAGTCCAAGACTCTAACCATTACACCACCCTGCCTCTTGTGAACTGTGGTAGGTAAGCACTGAAAACAGATTTTGGGTGGTGGGGAGTGGCTAGGATCAGGAATAGGGAATTCTGTAAGAACTGCAGTCCGTGTGTTTACTCTGAAGCCCGTTCCACTGAGTTCAATCAGGCTTACTCCCAGGTAAGCAGGCACTGAATTCCAATCTCGGCTGGCTCTCAAAAATATGCAAAGCTCTAATTGCAAACCCCTCTAATTATATTGCTCACAGCTGACGAATCTTGTTGGTTTCCAGAGAGAGGGAAGCGCCTTGCATGTATTTGGCAATTATATTTAAATCTTCCTCCTCTCTTGTCCTAAAGGCACAGCCTCAATTGCAAAAAAAAAAGCCCAGACAGCACGCGTGACAGGAATGCCGTGCTAAAAATACGAGATCTGAAGCCTTTATCAATGTGTAAAATCATAACCATTTGCAAAAGGCTCAGATCATCCCAATTCTCTGTGCTGTTACCCTGAAGGAACTGACTTGTTCATGTCATCAGCTCCCCCCACCCCTTTCCTTTCCCCCACTAAACTGCCTTACCCACAAGAACTCGTGATTGGAAACAAGCAGGAATGAGAAGATTACTATATGGGAGTCATGCATTCTGTATACATGCATTAGAAAATTTCCAGTTGTGCAAGCCAGTAATAAACGGTGGCGGCGGAACGGTATAAAGGATATCTGTTTGCTGAAAGCTCTGCTCTACTGATAAAAATGCAGAAGTTTCTGCATCCATTTAGATAATCACCAGAAATCTCTTTATGGTTCTGCGCAGGTTTGAAAGCTGGATTTGCAGGATGCTGCTAGGAAAATGCATTTGGCTCTTTTATTTATTTATCACGTTTATATCCCACCATTTTTGGGCCCTGTGAGCTTCGTGGGCAGGTGGGGATTCGAATCTTGCTCTCCCAAGTCGTAGTCTGACACTCCAGCCACGACAGCGCACTGGCATAGATTGCCTCTGCTTGCCCCAGTGGCCTCCACAGCAAAACTGATTCCCAGGAAATGAATGTATGTTTTCCCAGCCTGCTTTAAGAAGATACTGTCCTTTGGGTATTGCTGCTCCTCTCTGTAAAATGTCCAATCTGTTCTATAGTGATTTGTTCCTCTCATGACAAAACCCAACCTCTTCCATCCTGGGTGATATATGGAGAGAACCGTCCCTACCATTAGGCGAAAGGAGGTGGTTGCCTCAGGCTGCTGTTTCTAGGAGGTCAATGGCAGCAGCCCCCTGGCTGTTCCTCCCCGCGCCATTTCTCCTTTGTTGGAGGGCAGATCTTATACACTAGGGGTGGTGGAGGATGCTGAGCGGAACTGCCTGTCCAGTCAACTTCTGCACATGGAATAAGGAGGGGAGGAGCATCACCTTGTCCTTTGCCTCAGACGGCAAAATCTCTTGGGCCGGCCCTGATATTTGGCAGTGGGCACAAAGCTGAAATCTAATCCAAGTTATGCCATTCCTGAATTGGCAACCCTAGGGAGACAGTGCGGGTCAGTGGTAGAGGCCTATGCCCTTTTAAAATGTGGGGTTTTTTGGGGGGGGTTATTGCGTTATTGTTTTTATTTTGATTCAGTTGTGATGGCTTATGGTTTTTAGCAATAAAGATTTCATTCATTCATTATTTTGATTATATAGTGGTACCTCTGGATGCGAACGGAATCCGTTCCGGAGCCCCGTTCACATCCTGAAGTGAACGTAAGACGCGTCTGCGCATCTGTGGGTCGTGTTTTGCCGCTTCTGCGCATGCGCATGACGTCATTTTGAGCGTCCGCACATACGCGAGCGGCGAAACCCAGAAGTAACGTACTCCATTACTTCCGGGTCGCTGCAGAGCGCAACCTGGAAATATTTAAGCTGAAGCGTATTCATCCCGAGGTATGACTGTATATTTTGTGGTTTTACATTTTGATTTTGTTCTGTGAACCACCCTGAGACCTCTGGGTATAGGGTGGTATATAAATAATAATAATAATAATAATAATAAATAAAAAATTAGTGTGTGCTTTGCATGCAGAGGGTCTCTGGACGAATCCCCTGTTAAAAGGGATGTTGGCAGAGCCGACAAAGACTTTGGGAAAACAGGGACGTCCTAAGGAAAAGCGGGATATTCCAGGATCGAATCAGAAACCGGGATGGCTTCTGTAAATCCGGGGATGTCCCTGGAAAATAGGGGCACTTGAAGGATCTGGTGTATGCGAGGGCAGCTTCAGGTGTGGTCTCTGCAATGCCTTTGCCCTGGGCACATCTCCAAGTCTGCAATCCTTAATCTGTGTTTCTGGCACATGTTTTTGAACTCTCACCTCTCCAAACTCTCTCTCTGTGTACGATTTTTAGCTCAACAGTCAGGTGTAGCCCCTAGCTTAGAAAGAAACTCCCCCACCCCACCCCCAGCCGTGTTTGCAAGATAACCGCTTTATCGCACACTTCCAGACTGATGCGCGAGTGCCAGGACAAAGGCAAGCATCTCCATCCCCACCGGCAAAGATTTTGTTCTATTGGGCTTTCTCCCAAAAAAAGCTGATCTCTAAGCTTCTGGTAGGAAAACAGCTGTTAAGGAACAAAAGGATCTCTATTTAGAAAGGGGGCGGGAATGCAAATATCCTCCGTAATTAAGAAAGGGGGGGGGTGGAATAGACAAAAGCAGAGGTGGGAGGCTTCGCACAAGATGCTTCGGTGCTCAGCGGAGGCGGCTTCTCTGCACACATTCAAAAATATATATATTAAAAATGGCCTTGGTGCATCTCCTTGGCTGACAATGGGAGTGTTATCCTTCCCTGGACGGCTGTTATTCTGACGAATGTTCATGGCGCCGTGCCCGGATAAAGGCTTAGAGGTGCTGTGGCGCTGCTGCCGTTGAGCAGTATTTGTTTGGAATTCTTTGGCACTTGAGGAGCCTGGAGCATTCAGATTCCCAAATATTTCGACAAGAAGGGTGGAAACGACTGCGGCCCGCAGCGTCCCTCTTAAACCCCCTCCACCCGACCCTGTAGCCTCACAGAAACGTAGCCTGTGCTTTATTTATTGAATCTGTTTGCATATGGCTTTCCGGGATAAATTTCCTCCCAGTGTGGTTTGCAAGGCGCGCTTCAAACATACCGTATTTTTCGCTCTATAGGACGCACCGGGCCATAGGAGGGGGAGAACAGGGGTGGAATTCTCCCCCTCTCTGCTCAGCGCCCCTTCAGCAAAGCGGCAGGAGAAACGGAGCCCCTTCCATTTCTCCTCCCGCTTCGCTGAAGGGGCGCTGCGCAGAGAGGGAAAACTGTGCAGTGCCTCTCCAGTGAAGCGAACCCTGGAGAGCAAGAGGGATCGGTGTGCACCGACCCCTCTCACTCTCCAGGCTTCAGGCGGCCATCCGCAAGCCTTCGGAGTGCAGCAGGAGTTCCCTGCACTCCAGAAGCTTCAGGCGGCTTCAGCAAAAGCAACGCGAAGCCTCCGGAGCACAGGGGGAGCTCTCCCTCTGAGCTTCGGAGGCTTTGTGTTGCTATCGCTGAAGCCAAGGAGCCTGCATGCGCTCCATAGGACGCACACACATTTCCCCTTCATTTTTTTGGGGGGGGGAAATGTGTCCTATAGAGCGAAAAATAGGGTACAATAAAGGGCCGTGGGATGCAGCAGATCTCCAAGCAGTGCTCCAAACCATGGCTAAGAGTCAAGAGGACCATTGCTGTCCCGGCTTGCCTTCCGTTTTATGAACTGAATTTCTTGGGTGGGAGAGCGGGGAGAGAAAGGTGAAAGCACCTTTTGCCGTCACAGAAGCGGGGAGGGGGCTGAGAGGTTTTGTGGGCCTTGAAGCACAATGGCACTGCTTTAGACAGTCATGGGTTCCCCCAAAGAATTATGGGAGCCGTGGTTTGTTACGGGTGTTCGCAGTTCGCAGAACAGTTCCCTCTTCACTCTGAGAACCGCAGCTCTGTGAGGGAAATAGGGGTCTCCTAGCACCCTTCTCGGGACGCGGGTGGCGCTGTGGGTTAAACCACAGAGCCTAGGACTTGCCGATCAGAAGGTCGGCGGTTCGAAGCCCCGCGACAGGGTGAGCTCCCGTCGCTCGGTCCCTGCTCCTGCCCACCTAGCAGTTTGAAAGCACGTCAAAGCGCAAGTAGATAAATAGGTACCGTTCCAGCAGGAAGGTATACGGCATTTCCGTGCGCTGCTCTGGTTAGTCATACTGGCCACAGGACCCAGAAGCTGTACGCCGGCTCCCTCGGCCAATAAAGCGAGATGAGCGCCACAACCCCAGAGTCGTCCGCGACTGGACCTAATGGTTAGGGGTCCCTTTACCTTTACCTCTAACACCCTTCTCAGCACCCTTCGCAAATCAGGGTACACTCCATCGTATGTGGCGGACTTGAAAAAGGGTAAAAGTGTATTGGGAAATAATTTATAATGAATTGAAAAAAAAAGTTCAAAAGTACTTCCCCCAAAAAACCCCCCCAGAGTCCTTTATATTGGGGATAATTCAGATGGAAATTCCCAGGTGTCAAAAAAAGGCTATTTAGGTATGCCACTACTGCGGCCTATGTTTTGTTAGCCCCAAAATGGAAAGCGAGCGAGGTCCCAACCAAAGAAGAATGGCAACTTAAGCTGATGGAATATGTGCAGAATAAGAAAACAAGAAGAACATACGTTTAAAGAAGATTGGAAAATGTTTATTGAATATATGGGGGGAAATCATGTGCATCTGAAACATTGGCAGCATTGAGATAAATTCGGCAGTGTAAATAAATTTTGACGGATGCAATAATGGAATACTGAATGGTTTGGTTTACGTAAAATGTGCAGGGATTTATGGCATGCAAACTGAACCATGGAAAGAGAAGAAGGGAAGTTGTTGATATTTTAAGGTTGTTTAAATGAATATTCTATAATGTAAAACAGAAAAACTTAATAAAAATTATACAGAAAACCCCCATAAATCACAGTTCCCAGGACTCTCCGGGGGAAACCACGGCTGGTTTCAAGCGATATCATTTTGCTTTAAATGTATGCAGCTTTGGCAAGGAATCTGTGGCCCTCTAGATGCTGAAGTACAACTCCTCTCAGCCCCAGCTAGCATGGCCAATGGCCAGGGAAGATGGGAGTTGTAGTTCAGCAAGGCCCGGAGGACCACAGTTTCCTCACGTTTAGAATAGGGGAAGACCTTACAGGGAGCATTGTGCCTATGGGCACTGTGAGGGCATCCTGCCACACACACACAAATTCGGGTGTCTTTATCTTGTGAACGCCCCCGAGATCTTTTGATAAGGGGTGGCATATAAATCTAATAAATAAATAAAAATACAATAAAAATAAAAAGGCCGGCCCACCTATGAGGCAAGGAGAACCATTCACCTCGGGCAGATCTTGAGCTAAGGAGGGTGCTGTCTCCTGCAGGGACATGGCGGTTGTGGTTGCATACCCTCCAACATTTCTCTGATTAAAATTGTTGTTGTTGTTTAGTCGTGTCCGACTCTTCGTGACCCCCTGGACCAGAGCACGCCAGGCACTCCTGTCTTCCACTGCCTCCCGCAGTTTGGTCAAACTCATGCTGGGAGCTTCGAGAACACTATCCAACCATCTCGTCCTCTGTCGTCCCCTTCTCCTTGTGCCCTCCATCTTTCCCAGCATGAGGGTCTTTTCCAGGGAGTCTTCTCTTCTCCTGAGGTGGCCAAAGTATTGGAGCCTCAGCTTCAGGATCTGTCCTTCCAGTGAGCACTCAGGGCTGATTTCCTTCAGAATGGAGAGGTTTGATCTTCTTGCAGTCCATGGGACTCTCAAGAGTCTCCTCCAGCACTAGAATTCAAAAGCATCGATTCTTCGGCGATCAGCCTTCTTTATGGTCCAGCTCTCACTTCCATACATCACTAGTAGGAAAACCATAGATTTAACTATACGGACCGTTGTTGGCAAGGTGATGAAAATAGGAACGTGCTAAGGAAAAGCGAGGGACGCAGGTGGTGCTGTGGTTTAAACCACTGTGCCGCTGGAATTGCCGTTCGGAAGGTCAGCGGTTCGAATCCCTGCGACAGGGTGAGCTCCCGTTGTTTGGTCCCTGCTCCTGCCAACCTAGCAGTTCGAAAGCACGTCATAGTGCAAGTAGATAAATAGGTACCACTTTGGCAGGAAGGTAAACGGCGTTTCCGTGCGCTGCTCTGGTTTCGCCAAGAAGCGGCTTAGTCATGCTGGCCACATGACCTGGAAAAACTGTCTGTGGAAGCGGACAAACGCCGGCTCCCTTGGCCTGTAAAGCGAGATGAGCGCCGCAACTCCAGAGTCATTCGTGACTGGACTTAACTGTCAGGGGTCCCTTTACCTTTTAGGGAAAAGCGGGATGTTCCAGGATCAGATCAGAAACCAGAACGCCTTTTATAAATCTGGGACTTCCCTGGAAAATAGGAACACTTGGAGGGTCTGGCGGGCAGAAGCTATTGCCTCAAGCGGTAAAATGTCCCTGGCTGGCATTTCTGAATAAGGGTGGTTAATGATCTTCTCGGGACTGGAGTCTCCAGCAATCTGAAGTGTAGCCCTGCCTGCCTGTAAATGGTCTTGTTTTTAATTCTGTCTGACCTTTGCTATGTTTGGAGAGGCCTGTCTTACGATCAGCCAAAGTGTGTGCAGATCCTGACTTTCCTATTGCTGCATGCTAAGCAATTCCATCTACTTGGCAATTACCGTATTTTTCGCTCTATAGGACGCATTTTTCCCCCTCCAAAAATTAAGGGGAAATGTGTGTGCGTCCTATGGAGCAAATGCAGGCTCCTTGGCTTCAGCGATAGCAACGCGAAGCCTTCGAAGCACAGAGGGAGCGCTCCCTCCGTGCTCCGGAGGCTTCGCGTTGCTTTCGCTGAAGCTGGGAGAGCAAGACTCTCCTGGCTTCAGCAGAGAGGGAGAGCTGCGCAGCGCCCCTTCCGCGAAGCGGGAGGAGAAATGGAAGGGGCTCCGTTTCTCCTGCCGCTTCGCTGAAGGGGCGCTGAGCAGAGAGGGAGAGATCCCCCCCCCCGTTCTCCCCCTCCTGTGTGTGTCCTATAGAGCGAAAAATACGGTAGTCAAGACACTGGATTAGCCCAGAATATTATTTGACAAAACTATGACGCTTCTCCAGAGGAAGGATGTATGTTTTCAAAACTAATCTGGGGTGGTTGTTTTTATTTTTCAAGGGGGAGGGAGATGGGCATTGCTTTGGTCCCAAACTCTTGCCCCCCGACCCTGTTCCTTCCTTTTCCTCCTCCTCCTTCTAGTCTTTGAAAGAATCTCTTTCGACTCACAGAGTTGCAAATTCCATGGTTCTCTGCAAAGAAGCTTTGATTGTTAAACCTCTCTGGGAAATATAGCTCTGCAAGGAGAACAGGGGTCTCCTAACAGCTCTCAGCGCCCTGAGCAAACTACAATTCTCCAAGATGCTTTGGGGGAAACCGCAACTGTTTAAAGTGGTACAGTCCTGCTTTAAATGCACAGTGCAGTTGGGATCTAAGGCACCACACAGGGCAAAACCCCTCAAATTGTGGGTCCTTTTTTTACTATGTTTGTTTGTTAAAGAAAAGAATACCATCTTGGGTTCTAAATCAACTGGACAACAGGCCTATTGCTGAGTCTCTTAATCTAGCAGGTAGAAGTAGAGTCCTAGCTATGAAAATAGGACCGTTTTTCATGTCTGCTCCTGACTTAATTTGGTGTGCAATTCCAGGCTCCTGTTCTTCTGAACCACTCAGAAATAAGAATGTTTCAGAAATGGCGATGTGGGGGGAAACCAAAACAGTCTGTGAGGTCTTGAAAACGGAGAACGAGAGAGAGAGAGAGAAATCTTTGCTGCCTCTTTCTTTTCCATCTCCTTGCCTTTCAGCTCAGGAAGCCAGACGTAACCGTTCAAGCATTACTTTCCTTCAGGAAAAAAAACAAAACCAGGAGCCTAGCTTCTAACCGACAAGATTTTATGGGCTTTTCTCCCTCTTTCTGCTCTCACCAACACCCGCCGCCTCCTCTTGGCAGTGGGTCGCGAAGGATGGCAGCTCCCTCAGCCGCGATTCCAATAGCGCCTTTCATTAGGAGAAGCACAGAGGCGAAACTGCCATCATTGTGCCGATTGTGTGCCACTAACTCTGGGCTCTTGCCGCAGGGGCTGTTTGCTGTGCAAGGCCCTGGCGCGAAAAGCGACAAATTGGAGGAAAACGTCGCCTTCCGTTTTTACAAGAATCAAATGCCCAAGGTTCTGTCCCTCATGGTTTTGAATTTGGGGTGCTGTTGCCAACTTCGGATTTCGAAGATGGTGGTGCAAGGCCACATTCACACCATAAATTTAAAGCACTACGATACCAGTTCTAACGGCCATGGCTTCCCACAAAGAATTCTGGGAACTGTAGTTTTTTCGTTAGGGTACAGAGAGGTGTTATTCCCCGCCTGCAGCCACAATCTTCGCAGGGAACTTCTTAGAAAGGCAAACCTATCCAATTTGCTTTCACTCAGATTCTCATTTTTCCATTCTTAAGCTCAGCTGCCGACATTTCCACATCAGTTTGTGATAGATAAATAAATAAGTCCTCTTGAAAATTCACCCACATCTTAGCCCAAGTTTCTCCGAACAGATTCATGTTTGTATGCAATTTTTCCTAAGACACACTTTTTTTTTTTTTTTTTACAAAGCAATTTTTCCTAGTATAGTGCATTTCTGGATGCTATTTTCACTATTATATGCACCTTTATGCATACTTTACCATGATACATACATTTTTGGACACATTACGTGGCTGGAGAACTTCATTGCAAAATTCAGATGATGTCCAAAGATGGCTGTGTTTCGGTTCTGATATTTTTGGGGAATGAAGTAGGTCTGCCACCTAAGCATTTTTACTCAGAACTAAGTCCCACTGAGTTCAATAGGATTTAGTCTCTATGTTCCTGTTCATTCTCACAGTTTAATAATAATAATAATTTAAAAAGGTAAAGGGACCCCTGACCATTAGGTCCAGTCGTGGCCGACTCTGGGGTTGCGGCGCTCATCTCGCTTTATTGGCCGAGGGAGCCGGCATACAGCTTCCGGGTCATGTGGCCAGCATGACTAAGCCACTTCTGGCGAACCAGAGCAGTGCACGGAAACGCTGTTTACCTTCCCGCCGGAGTGGTACTTATTTATCTACTTGCACTTTGAGGTGCTTTCGAACTGCTAGGTTGGCAGGAGCAGGGACCGAGTGACGGGAGCTCACCCCGTTGTGGGGATTCGAACCGCCGACCTTCTGATCAGCAAGTCCTAGGCTCTGTGGTTTAACCCACAGCGCCACCCGCGTCCCTAATAATAATTTATCTCCTGCATTTTCCCCTGACAAGGACTCAAGGCAGCTTCCAGCTACCATTTTATTTCATTCCATTTATCTGTGGAAGGTGGTGTACATGACCCCAACCCCTCACACATTTTTTTATTTACAACAATCCTGTGAGGTAGGTTCAGCGGAGAGGTTGCAATTGGCTCAAAGTGACCAAGATTGATGTGTATAGGACACATCCTGATACAGACCAGAATGTCCATCTTTTAATCAAGGAAATATTGGAGAGCATGCAATATGACCACTTTACAGCAAGAAGTGGCCTGATTAGGAGCAGGATTGTAAGAGAGAGAGACCGGTCTAATACTAGGCTTGCCTTGCCAAGAGCAATAAACTCACAGCAGAGCAAATGGGATCCCCCCCCGCCTCTAAAGTCTCTGGCTTTGAAGTTATCCAGTCCTTTCCCTTGAGGGATGCTCGCCTGATTATAATAGCTGCAGCTGGAATAATCTCCACAACTGTGCTAGGTGAAAAGTAGGTTAGATTTAAATTTGACTGGCGGGCAAAAGTGTGTGGGGGTGTGTGTTTTGCAGCCCCCTCTTATTTTTATATTTATTTTTGCAATCGGGAAACGCCTAACCTATGGTCGCTTTAAATTAGGCAGCTGTGTGCCACTCAGTTCCTCAATTCACCCTAATTCCAGTACCCATCTCACCTCTCCCAGAACTGCAATACCTTTTTTTGGGAATGGGCTAAAGTTGTTGTTGTTGTTTAGTCGTTTAGTCGTGTCTGACTCTTCGTGACCCCATGGACCAGAGCACGCCAGGCACTCCTGTCTTCCACTGCCTCCCGCAGCTTGGTCAAACTCATGCTGGGAGCTTCGAAAACACTATCCAACCATCTGTTGTCCCCTTCTCCTTGTGCCCTCCATCTTTCCCAACATCAGGGTCTTTTCCAGGGAGGCTTCTCTTCTCATGAGGTGGCCAAAGTATTGGAGCCTCAGCTTAAGGCTCTGTCCTTCCAGTGAGCACTCAGGGCTGATTTCCTTCAGAATGGATAGGTTTGATCTTCTTGCAGTCCATGGGACTCTCAAGAGTCTCCTCCAGCACCAGAATTCAAAAGCATCAATTCTTCGGCGATCAGCCTTCTTGATGGTCCAGCTCTCACTTCCATACATCACTACTGGGAAAACCATGGCTTTTACTATACGGATCTTTGTTGGCAAGGTGATGTCTCTGCTTTTTAAAATGCTGTCTAGGTTTGTCATTGCTTTTCTCCCAAGGAGCAGGCGTCTTTTCATTTCGTGACTGCTGTCACCATCTGCAGTGATCATGGAGCCCAAGAAAGTAAAATCTCTCACTGCCTCCATTTCTTCCCCTTCTATTTGCCAGGAGGTGATGGGACCAGTGGCCATGATCTAAAGTAGCTTGCTTAATTCTCCAGCTGATCCCAATTGTTTCTGGGGCCTAAATGACTTGGCGGCCCAGAAGCAGTCCATTGTTTTTATATCTGCTCCGATATTCCAAACAAGGAGAGCAATGGAGGCAGTTCCCAAGTCCAGCCGGCGACGTTGTGGTCCGAGCCTTTTTGCTTGCAAAGATCTGGCAGAGATCCAGCTTTGAAAAAGGGTCTTGATCAGGGGTAGGCAACCTAAGGCCCAGGGGCCGGATCCAGCCCAATCGCCTTCTCAATCTGGCCCACGGACAGTCCGGGAATCAGCGTGTTTTTACATGAGTAGAATGTGTCCTTTTAGTTAAAATGCATCTCTGGGTTATTTGTGGGGCATAGGAATTTGTTCATTATTATTTTTTCCAAAATATAGTCCGGCCCCCCACATGGTCTGAGGGACGGTGGACCGGCCCACAGCTGGAAAAGCTTGCTGACCTCTGGTCTTGATCATCATGGGATGCAGCTTTCACGCAGAGTTTTCCGTGCAAAGCCCTGCCGGCAATTGGCTTGTGCAAAACCTCCTTTGCGCAGATTTAAATGTTTGTGGGTATTGGCGCGTCTTACCAGCCAGATAGCTTTGAGCTTAACAGGATTCCAGGAGGGATTAGAAATTTATAGGCATAAGAACAGCGGCTGGGGCTAGGCAAGAGGAGATCAGAGGAAAATAAATTTTACATGGGTGGAAATCCATTTGATATGGGGAATAAGGCAGACTTCCACAACTGCTGCGCTGGAACCAAAGTCATCTTCTGTCTCCGGTGAGATTCATAGAGGGTCCTTGAGTGTTGGTAGCCAGTGTTGATTGACAGAGGGACTGCAAGGGCCTGCCCACTGTACCATCAGTAGCTTGGTTGGCATCCGTCTGTCTCGGGAGACAATGGAGGAGTTCGCCTTTGGGGGTGAAGTCAAACCGTTGGGGAATCACAGCGCCTGCTGTGGCTGTAGAGGCTGAAACGGCAGAGCTGTGTTAGAAACTCAGATATATAAGCTAGGCGCCAAAAGGCTCCTTAAACCAGGGTTACGGTCGCCAAAACGGAATGTCCAGTTGCCATTTTGGGGACAGACCGCTCGGAAGTCGTATTTTTCAACCCGACTTTTCGGTTCCTGAAATTCGTTTTGACTGGGCAGATCAAATGGATAGAATTCTACGGGACGGGTTGCTCGTGTGTGAAAACAGTCCGGATCCGAGGATCCCCAGGCATGCAACCTGCAGGTGGTGGAGACATCAGGTGCCATCCTGGTGCCCGGGCAACTTCACTTGGTCGCCAGTGGCCGATAGCCAGATGCAAAATGCGGCTGGCGAATTTTGAAGGCTGTGGGAGAGACATGTTTTGTGGCAGCAGGGGCAAATGAAGGCGTCTGGTTGTGCCGCCACAGATGCACCAGGGCGCATCTTCTCCCAGCAGTCACTGCTCCTCTGGTCACTGCTACGGAGGCACAACCTGTCAGTGGTCACAGATTAGACCCTTGTGAATAAGTGGTTCAATGTTAGGGGACTTCAGGGGCTGTTTCCACACAACCTGCTTACTGGGCGCTCATCCTGATTTGTTTGTCTAACCTCTCCTCAGACTTCATGCAATGTTGGCTATTTAGTTAGCATTCATCACGATTTGTTGGTGGGAAATCATAGAATTGTAGAACTGCAAGCCATCCCTGGGTGAACCCAAACCACCAGCCTTCTGGTTAACAGCCAGATACACTGACATCGCATCAAGCAAATATTAGGCCACACTACTCAGCGGGTTTCCCCATCACTTTCCTTACTGCAAAAACTCCAATTTTGCAGGGGATGGGGAATACGTTTGTTGCATCACAGTTTTTATTATCCAGTCTGATTTTGCCAGTATGTGAGCCTACCAGAAAATGGTACCCCATTCATTTTGAGGTGGGACCTGGAGTTGGGAAGATCTGTAAGTTTCAGTTTATCTTGGTTTCTCATTTATCCCGTCTTAAGTTCAATTTTTCATGTTTCCGCATCAGCAGGTCCTCATGAAAAGTCAACAGCATTTTGGTGCAAATTTCTCCTAATTTACCCATTTTTGCAAAGCCATTTCCCCCGACATCATGCATTTTTTGATGTTATTTTCACTGATATATACATTTTAAATATGAGCGCTTTACCCTGGCAGATGGGTTTTTGTACACGCTACCCGGCTGGAGAATGACACTGCAAAATTCAGAGAAGCGTGAATTTCGATGGGTGGATTGTGTTCCAGTTTGCATATCATTTTGGAAAAGGCAGATTAGGTAGATTTGCCTTTAAATGCAAACCAAATTGAATTTCACCCCAGGACAGAGCATATCCGAAAGCTCTTGCCACCCCTGGTTGGCAAAAGCAAGTTGGCAAGGTGCGAAAGTTGCTGTTTAACGCCACCTTTGCCTTTTCTTAGTGGTTATTTATTTAGCTGCCAGCTGCATGCCCTGGGGCAGAGACCTAAAACCCAGATAGTAAAACCTAGAAGGCCAGCATTTATTCCCCTGGTCCAGGGGTCAGCAACCCGCGGCTCCGGAGCCGCATGTGGTTCTTTTACACCTTTGCTGCGGCTCCGGGGCGGATACTAGCGAGGGGAGAAGGCGCATAGTGCGCCCCAACACTCCCCACTGTGGCGGGCGCTGTACTGGCTGTGACGTCGCATGGGGGCGGTGCGTGCGTTAGTCACACACCGTCCCGGCGTCACCTTCCCGCCTGCCTGCTACATTGAAAGGGGCATGTACGCTGGTCACCGCATTGAAAGGGGGCATGTACGCTGGTCACTGTTTGGAAGGGGAGTGAAGAACACACACACACAAAAAGGTAACTTGTTAATTTAACGTTTATTTCTATGAGGAGGAGTAATTCTGAGGGGTCAAACAAAGAAATAATAAAAAAAAGTGACAAAAAAGTTATTTTTATAATGACGAGTTTTGCGGCTCCCAGTTTTTTTTTCTTCGGAAACGGGTCCAAGTGGCTCTTTTTGTCTTAAAGGTTGCAGACCCCTGGCCTGGTCTGAGGCACCTCTTCCCTGGTGTAGGAATGGACCAATGCTCTACCATGCATTCTAAGGCAACTTCCTCTGCCTGTGGTTCAAAATGCATATGTGCTAATTCATTCAAATGCATGCAGATTTCAAATTGGCCTGTTGGCTTGCTGTCTCTGCGGCCTTCTGAAATCTGCCTCCAAGCTCATTTGCACAGCGTTCAAAATGGGCTGCTGCAATCATGCAGATTAGGTGAGCTACATTTAGGGCGCTCTCCCTCCCCTTCCAAACTTGCATCGCAAAGCGTGAAGGGCTTCCCACCCCCGCCAAACCTGGTCTTTTCTTGTCTCCTTCCACGTGTCTGGTTGAACATGACATCACTGGACAAGATGACAATAGTCAGACCCCCTGAAACGCAGGAATCCTTTTGCCCCATGTGGGGCTCGAACCCACGGCCCTGAGATTAAGAGCCTCCTGCTCTACCGAGCTGTCAAAGATAACATATAATGTAACGCTCATGGGGGGAAAATACCACCCCTACAAATAGTATCAAGGAATTATTAAATAGTAAACAAAGCAATAGATGGGACGCGGGTGGCTCTGTGGGTTAAACCACAGAGCCTAGGACTTGCCGATCAGAAGGTCGGCGGTTCGAATCTCCGCGATAGGGTGAGCTCCCGTTGCTCGGTCCCAGCTCCTGCCAACCTAGCAGTTCGAAAGCACCTCAAAGTGCAAGTAGATAAATAGGTACTGCTCCGGCGGGAAGGTAAACGGCCTTTCCGTGCACTGCTCTGGTTCGCCAGAAGCGGCTTAGTCATGCTGGCCATATGACCCGGAAGCTGTACGCTGGCTCCCTCGGCCAGTAAAGCGAGATGAGCACCGCAACCCCAGAGTCGGCCATGACTGGACCTAGTGGTCAGCGGCCCCTTTACCTTTACCTTAAACAAAGCAATACTCTGACCCACTGATTAGCAAATAAACAAAACCTCAACCTCCCCCTAGTCCAAAAAAACCCCCCATCCAACCAACCACAGATACCAAACTGCTCCCTGAACTCAAAGGGTGCTGTGGCTTATTGCCCCACAATTCCTTGCACTCGCCCTTGGTGCTGGCATGTGGAATAGTTGGCAAACGAAAACCACAGCCCTCTTCCATAGAGTTCTCCATTCATTTGTTTAATCCTCATTCCAAGCCACGATGTTTTTAATATTCTGTTGGGAGCCGCCCAGAGTGGTTGGTGCAACCCAGTCAGATGGGCCGCATACAAATATAATAATAATAGACCACATAACACTGGCCTTGAAAGATCTACAGTGGCTCCCAGTACGTTTCCGAGCACAATTCAAAGTGTTGGTGCTGACCTTTAAAGCCCTAAACAGCTTTGACCCTGTATACCTGAAGGAGCGTCTCCACCCCCATCGTTCTGCCCAGACACTGAGGTCCAGCGCTGAGGGCCTTCTGGCGGTTCCCTCGCTGCGAGAAGTGAGGTAACAGAGAACCAGGCAGAGGGCCTTCTTGGTAGTGGCACCCGCCCTGTGGAATGCCCTCCCACCAAATGTCAAAGAGAAGAACAACCACCAGACTTTTAGAAGACATCTGAAGGCAGCCCTGTTTAGGGAAGCTTTTAATGTTTAATAGACTACTGTATTTTAGTGTTTTGTTGGAAGCTGCCCAGAGTGGCTGGGGAAACCCAGCCAGATGGGCGCGGTATAAATAATATATTATTATTATTATTATTATTATTATTATTATTATTATTAATTATTTTGCAGCACTGTGATCCCACTTCAACCAGCCATGGCTTCCCCACTCCCCAAAGGATTCTGGGAGCTGTCTTTGGTGAAGGGTGTTGGGAGTTGTTAAGGAGAACCCTGCGCTCCTCCCAGAACTACAATTCCCAGAGTCGTTTAACAGCCAATCCCTCTTCACAAGGAACTCTGGGAATTATAGCTCTGAGAGGGGAGCAGGGGGGTATCCTAACATCTCTCAGCAGAACCCTAAACAAGTAACAGCTCCCAGAATTCTTTGGGGCAAGCCATAACTACTAGTTGAAGTATAAATGAATGGTGTGAAGGCAGTCTCTCTCTCTCTCTCTCTCTCTCTCTCTCTCTCTCTCTCACACACACACACACACACACACATTCTCCTTTTCCTTTGGCGCGGTGAGAATTTTGCCCCTTTGTTTCCAGACCGGCGTTTGAGTGACGATCTTAAATGAGTCCTTTTTGTCCCCTGCGCACCCATCTGCCTAGCGGTCAAATGTCACACTGTAACCCACTCAATTTCCTTCTTCTTCCCAGCCTATGCTTCTATACACAAACACACACACACACCCCTCTCCTGGTGCCTGGGGTTCAAGTTCCAGCTGTCTACAAAGGTGGCATGTTTGTGTGTGCAGTTGGACTTCTGACCCCATTTGTTGGCAGCGGGGGGTCCCCCCTTGCTGATTCCACCCTTCGCTGCACGAATTCGGGAGGAGATCTCTCTCTTTTCTCAAAGGAGGGGAGACGCACTCCAGAAGTCACGTGCTCAGAAAAAGGAAAAATAGTTCAGCCCACTCACTGTTTTGCTGCAATGAAGGAGGTCTAAGCATAAGACGTTGTCTTGCACTTTCTTCATCTAGCTCAAGAATGTCTCCCTTGAGCATGGCACCAAGGTCTTGGGTAATAATAATAATAATAATAGTAGTAGTAATAATAATAACTTTTATATATACCCCACCCACCCCAGCCAGAGCTGGGCTCACGGCAGCTAACCAGTAAAATTACAGCAAAAAACATAATATGAAAAAACCCCAATTTAAAATACAGGTTAAAATGCAATTTTAAAAAGCGAGAGTTCTCCCAAATCAAACGCTACCTGACCATTCAACGGAAAAAGCCAGGGTTGGTTCTACGACCTTAGCAGTTGCTGTGCCACTGAAACCTGTCTAGACGTTGCATGGTTAGGGAAATGCACTTTGCACCTGCTCAGGGTACTCTTAGCTCTCTTTACTTCTTAGGTTTGGAACGCAGTGCTACACAGAGACCAGAAAATGAGGATTCGGTAGGGGAGTTTGCCCGGCCTGGCGTAGGCATCAAGCTTTGGAAACAGGGCAAAGAGTTTGTTTGCTGAAAAGCGACATTTTCCCCTGGCGTGCGCCACCCTTCCCTGTTCGCTTCCACCAACCCCACATCTGCTGCTTGGGGCAGCAGGGATTAGCCCAGTTGCAACAAGGCTTGGGGGAAACGTCTGAGACTCCCCCAAAAAATCTCACAAGGAGAAACGGCAGCGGGGGACCAATCGTTTCAGTTGTGCCAAGTTTGGTGAGAAGACTGCCATGGGGTCCCTCCAAATTCAGCTTTTTCTCTAGTGCTAAAACACAACCAAGGAGAGATGTTGTTGTTGTTTAGTCGTGTCCGACTCTTCGTGACCCCATGGACCAGAGCATTCCAGGCACTCCTGTCTTCCACCGCCTCCCGCAGTTTGGTCAAACTCATGCTGGTAGCTTCGAGAACACTTTCCCACCATCTCGTCCTCTGTCGTCCCCTTCTCCTTGGGCCCTCCATCTTTCCCAACATCAGGGTCTTTTCCAGGGAGTCTTCTCTTCCCATGAGGTGGCCAAAGTATTGGAGTCTCAGCTTCAGGATCTGTCCTTCCAGTGAGCACTCAGGGCTGATTTCCTTCAGAATGGATAGGTTTGATCTTCTTGCAGTCCATGGGACTCTCAAGACTCTCCTCCAGCACCATAATGCAAAAGCATCAATTCTTTAGCGATCAGCCTTCTTTATGGTCCAGCTCTCACTTCCGTACATCACTACTGGGAAAACCATAGCTTAGACTATATGGACCTTTGTTGGCAAGGTCATGTCTCTGCTTTTTAAAATGCTGTCTAGGTTTGTCATTGCTTTTCTCCCAAGAAGCTGGCGTCTTTTAATTTCGTGGCTGCTGTCACCATCTGCAGTGATCATGGAGCCCAAGAAAGTAAAATCTCTCACTGCCTCCATTTCTTCCCCTTCTATTTGCCAGGAGGTGATGGGGCCAGTGGCCATGTTTTTGGTTTTTTTTATGTTGAGCTTCAGACCTTATTTTGCGCTCTCCTCTTTCACCCTCATTAAAAGGTTCTCTAATTCCTCCTCACTTTCTGCCACCAATGTTGTGTCATCTGCATATCTGAGGTTGTTGATATTTCTTCCGGCAATCTTGATTCCGGCTAGGGATTCATCCAGCCCAACCTTATGAATTCTGCATATAAGTTGAATAAGCAGGGAGACAATATACAGCCTTGTTGTATTCCTTTCCCAATTTTGAACCAATCAGTTGTTCCATCAGTTGTACACATTTGCAATACGCCCGCAAAAAAACCACAACCCTTATTGTTCCTTGTTTGTGTGCAACAATGGGGACTAGATCGCTGTGTTTATTTATTTTTTAAGGGAAAGCATGCAGTGGTTTTCTCCGCAAAGACCACATCACGTGTCTTGGTCTGCGGCCTTGTGGCAGTTGTGCAGAGATCCAGATGAGGGGTGGGGCGGACTTTTTGTGCATCCTAAATCCCTGATTCTTTGAGCCACTTTTATCTTCTCTGCTGCTGCTTTTCTTGCAGGATGCCCTGCCCGGTTTGATGTGGGAGCTGGAGCAGCAGCTGGGGCTGCTGAGACTATACCCTGAGAAGACCTGCGGGGAGGCAGGCGAGACGGACAGCTGGCCCAGTTCAGGTAAGGGAAAAGCCCCACCCCACAACTGCAGCCCCCCTGGTCGCTTCCCTATTGTTGGCCTGTTGCTTCTCCCCGAATAAATGCTCTCTTCTTGTTCACAGACAGTTTTTTATTATTATTATTATTATTATTATTATTATTATTATTATTTATACCCCACCCTCCCCAGCCAAGACCAGGCTCAGGGCGGCTAACACCAGGTATAAAAACAATTGATTGAAATACAGTGGTTTCTCGGGTTACATACGCTTTAGGTTACAGACTCCGCTAACCCTCGTACTTACGGGACCGCCTCTCCCGGTATGCCCCACGGAGAGCCTCAAGGTCCATAAATAGCAACATCCTAGTGGTCCCGGGCCCTAAGGAAGTTAGATTGGCTTCAACCAGAGCCAGGGCCTTTTCAACACTGGCCCCGGCCTGGTGGAACGCTCTCTCTCATGAGACCAGAGCCCTGCAGGATCTGATTTCTTTCCACAGGGCCTGTAAGACAGAGTTGTTCCGCCTGGCCTTTGGCTTGGAGCCAATTTGATTCCCTCCTCCTCTTTCTTTTTTCTTTTTCCTTTCTCCTCCTGTGATGAGGCTACATTTTAATATTTTAATGTTTCAATATTTTAATGTTGCATTTTAATCTTGTTTTTCAGTTGTATTCATTCAACTTGTTTTTATTATTGCTTGTTAGCCGCCCTGAGCCCGGCCTTGGCTGAGGAGGGTGGGGTATAGATAAAATTATTATTATTATTATTATTATTATTATTATTAACAACTCAGAAATAGTACCTCGGGTTAAGAACTTTGCTTCAGGATGAGAACAGAAATCGCGTGGCGGCGGCATGGCTGCAGCGGGAGGCCCCATTTAGCTAAAGTGGTGCTTCAGGTTAAGAACGGACCTCCGGAACGAATTAAGTACTTAACCTGAGGTACCACTGTACAACTTAAAAACAAGATTAAAATACAACATTAAAATGCAGCTTCATTTCAGTAGGAACTCAAATCAAAAACTTTTTTGGGGATGAAAACGTCAAGTCTTCACCAAGGCCGACTATCCAGACTGGTCCTACGTGGGCCAGAAAAAAGCCAGGGAAGTCCCCAAATAGGAGTTCCATCACAGAAGGAGAAAGGAAAGAGGGGGAGGGGATCAAGTTGATTCCAAGCCAAAGGCCAGGCGGAACAACTCTGTCTTACAGGCCCTGCGGAAAGAAATCAGATCCTGCAGGGTCCTGGTCTCATGAGACAGAGCGTTCCACCAGGTCGGGGCCAGTGTTGAAAAGGCCCTGCCTCTGGTTGAGGCTAATCTGACTTCCTTAGGGCCCAGGACCTCTAGGGTGTTGCTATTTATGGACCTTAAGGTCCTCCGCGGGGCATACCAAGAGAAGCGGTCCCGTAGGTACGAGGGTCCTAGGCCGTGAAGGGGTCTGCGCCTTCCCTTCCAGGCTCCGCAAAGGTCATCCAAACAACTTGACCCTCACCCACCCCACTGCTGGGCCTGCTTGCAATAAGGCCAGCCAGCCCCTCTGCTAGGCTGGCAAGTAGAGGGCATTGGGGGGGGTGCGAGGCAAAAGGATAACCCTAGATGCCTGTTTCTGCTGCCAGGTTTCTACGAGGGGACGCAGTCTGCGGTGGCCTCCGATTCTCCTGCCTCCGGGTTTGGGGACTCCTCTTCCGGCTTCCCGTCAGCCTCCGGGTCCTACTCCCGGATCGGCCGTCCAGAGTCCCGTTTGGGCTACGCCAATGAGCGCCCCAAGTCCGTGGGTGAGTAAGGGGCAGCGGAAGGAGGGTATTGGAGGGTGAGGGTTCTGAGTCCTAACCCGTGTGGAAGTCAGGTCACGACTTTTAAAGCACCATGATACCACTTTAAAGCAGGCCTGGCTTCCCCCCCACCCCAGAAATTCTGGGAGCTGTAGTTTGTTAAAGGGACTGAGAGTTGCAAGGAGACACCCCTACATTCCCAGAGTTCCCTGCAAAGGGGGACTGACTGTTAAATCACTTTGAGAATTGTACCCCTCTGAGGAGAATAGGGGGGGTCTCCTAATAGTTTTCAGCACCCTGAAAATGTACCCCTCCCAGGATTCTGGGGGGTGGGCAGCCAGGACTGTTCAATGTGGTACAATACAGTCATACTTCGGGTTACAGACGCTTCAGGTTGCGTTTTTTCAGGTTACGGACCCGCCGAAACCTGGAAGTACCGGAATGGGTTACTTGCGGGTTTGGGAGGTTGCGCATGCACAGAAGTGCCAAATCGCAACCCACACATGCGCAGATGCGCCGCTGCGGGTTGTGAACATGCATCCCGCGCAGATCACTTTCGCAACACGAGCATCCATGGTACTGCTTTAAAGGTATAGCGTAGATGACGCCCAAGGCCGGTGACACAAGCTTACTGGGAAATGATATATAACAAACTGAAATAGATGTTTAAAATAACGTTTGTAAAAACAAACCAACCCAAAAGCTCTCCTTTTGGGAATTATAAGGACAGAACTATTCAAACTGTATAGAAATTTCTTCATGTTTGCGACTACAGCGTCAACAATGTTACTTGCTCAAAAGTGGGAAGAAGAAGAATTCCCAGCAAAAGAAGAATGGGTACAAAAACTTATGGAATATGCAGAGATGGCAAAACTTACCAGAAAAATAAGAAATCAAGATAACAAGCTTTTAATAAAAGAATGGAAATGGTTTATTGAATATTTACAAACTGTAAACAGATAAGAACATTGACAGGATTATTGTAATAACCTGCAGTTTTATAAGAGTATATATTTAAAGTAGATGAATAAATGAGCTAATTAAGTTAATCTGGATATGCAGAGAATATTTAAAATAAATTTAAGGAACCGCAGAAGGAGGGGGAAGGAAGTCAGGTTTTGAAATGTTGAAATGATTGTAAAACTATTGAAATGTATAAAACTGAAAATCATAAATAAATAAAGGCAGATGACACATCCAAAATCAAATCACTTTAAATTGTCATGGCTTCCCTCAAAGAATTCTGGGAGCAGTAGTTTGTTGAGGGTGCTGAGAGCGGTTAGGAGACCCCCGGCTAGAGCTTAAATTCTCAGAGTGCTTTAGCAATCAATCCCTCTTCATATGGAACAGGGAATTGTAATTCTGGGAGGGGAATGGTGGTTGGGTGGGGGTGTCTCCTAACAGCTGCTAGCACCCTCAATGAACTACTGCTCCCAGAATTCTTTGGGGGAAGCCATGTTTAAAATGGCGTCATGCCACTTTTTAAATGTAAGACGGCAATGTGGCCAGAGAATTTCAGCCAACCTCTTTCTCTCTCTCTCTGTCTCCTTTTCTTCCCACCTCGGTTCCCAGGCGATGTGGGCAACAGCAGCAAAGACGGGCCCCATCGGAGCACAGTGCCCCGCTCCTTCTCTGCCCCCTACTCCAGTTCCCACGACTACGCCGAAGAGCCCCCCGGCTACCCGCCAGACCCTTTCCTGTACCCCAGCCCTCTCCACGCCGTGGCCCTGCAGAACCCCTTGCTGCGGAGCCACCTCTACGAAGACCCCGCTTTCTCTTCGGCCGCCTCCAGGGCCTACCCCGCAGACGGGGACGGGGGCCTGGACGCCTACGGCGGCGAGTTCCAGTTCTACTCGGAAGCCGCCGCCTCGCACTGCCACAAAGTGGAGAGCTACATCTCCCGGCTCGTCCGCCGCCGCAGCCAGCTGGTGAGGGGCAGCAAGCCCCGGACGAGCCTGGGTTCGGAGCCACCCGCCAAGGGCGCCGTGGCCAGGCAAAACAGCCTGTGCAAGAGGCCCCTGGAGCTTCTGCCTCCGCCAGCTGAGCGCAAACACCCTCCGGCCGTGGAGAGGGGTAGCAGCACCCCTTCGCCCTGCGGCCATGAAGGGGGGGCCGCCGCGGCCACACGGATCTGGTCCTCGTGGGATGCCGCGGCCGAGAGGACGCTGGCGGCCAAAGCAGCCTCTGAGGACTACAGCCCGCCCCACGCCAGCCTCAAGAAGCCCCCCAAGCTGCAGGCCTTGGCCCATATGAGACCTCCATCTGCTGACCAGTATGAAGTGGCCTACCCATCGTCCCCGCTGCTGGATAGAGACGACGGAGTGGCCCCTGGCAGCAACCAGGACCTGGCCTCCTACGAGTCTGAGGACGGAGCCTGCCTCATGGTCAAGGCCCACTACATCCCAGCTCAGCAGCCTCCCCGGGCGCAGCAGGCCCTGCGGCCTGGCAAAAAGAAGCCCCCTCCCCTGACCAAGGGGCGCTCCGTGGAACTGTCGCCGGAACGGGCCCCCTTGCTGCCCAGGGAGCGGCCGCGGGTGTCGGCGCCCCCCAAGAAATGCCGCTTCAGCGAGGAGGGCAGCGGTGAGGCGGCGGGGAGGAAAGGGGGCGGCCGGAAAAGCTCCCCCAGGTCGAGGAAGGCGGCTCGCTCGCAGTCGGAGAACAGCCTCCTCAACAAACCGGGGGTCAAGTATGGCACGGCTGAGCGGGACGAGGCCGCCAGCAAGCCAGCCCGCCCGAGGCGGCCTCACGGCAACGTGGCCAGCGGCTACCGCAAGTGGCGCTCGACGGCGGAGATCTGCCAGGAGGAGGCTGCCGGCGGGAGCGCCGCCGAGCCGCGCCGGAGCCGTCGGGGGGTCGGGCCGGTGGGGTACAGCTACGCCGGGAGCGACTCCGAATGCTCGGCCGAGCCGGCCCGGCAAGCGCCCATGTGCCGCCTGGAGGAAGGCCTTGTTTACGGCGACAGCGAGTCGAGCCTGAGCGAGGGGGACTCGCCTCCGGCCTACAGCAGCGGGGCGTCCAGCGACACGGACGAGAGCGGCGGCCTGGTGTGGCCGCAGCAGCTCTCCCCGCAGCTCGTATCGGCCTCCGGGCCGGGGAAGGCGGCGGGCGGGCAGCCCAAGGTCTTCGTCAAGATCAAGGCCTCGCACGCGCTGAAGAAGAAGATCATGCGCTTCCGCTCGGGCTCCCTCAAAGTCATGACGACGGTGTGAAGGAGGGCGGCCATTTTGTCCCTCTTTCGGCAGAAAGGTCCCCCTCAAATGCACCTCACATTCCCAACACCCCAACATCCGGTCCGGCTCCAACCCCAGGACTGTGTGATCTGCTCCATTTTCATCCCCCGGGGGAAAACCTGGGGAAGTTAACACTGCCTTTGAACAGAATTTGGGGTGCCCATGATTCTTAACGCTCTTTCCCCAGCTGCACGAAAAACCGCTAAAATGGTCTCCCTCCCTCTCGCCCCCCCAGCTGCCACCCCTTTCTAATCCCGTCCATTTTTAAAGGAGAGGTATTTATTATGGTTTTTGTACAGTTGACTTCTCAGGAGTCCGGGTTCCGCTGCAAAACTCTGGAGTCTGACACTGACACTGCCAATCTTGTATTCCTGTAAAGATATCCTTTCTCTCTGTGTAAATAAAATTCAGTGTTTTGTTTCTTGGGGGGTTGTTTTTTGTGGATGATGTCAACGACTTGCCTGTAAAGGAAGATTGCTTTAAAGATGGTGATGGAGGGAGGGAAGTCTCCCCCCTTTCATAAAGGCTTTTGGCCCTCCATGTTTATGTTGTCTCTGGGTCGGCAGCTGGGAAGGCCACAGGTGATACTGGGAGGGGGGCAGGATGGGGCCCTTGAGCAGTCCAGCTGCTGACCCCTCCTTTTATTTCAGAGACGTGCGTCTCCCCTTCACATTTTACGAGTTAGCTGCCTCAAACGCTGGCTAAATCCCGGCGAAACCCAGTATGAATCAGCCCTGAAAGCTTAAGTTTTGTGGCCGAGATCCAGATATAAAGCTGAGAAGCCAATGAAGCTTAAACGCTTAGCTGCGTAGGTTTTCTGAGGGACCTAGAGGGGCACATTATGGGCTCTGGGTTTCGTCTCTTGAACCAGGTGATAGTTTTATTTGGAGAGCCGAAGGCTGTTTGAGAAAGGGGCCTGCGATGATTGCACACACATCCCGCTTCTGACTTAGGAAAAAGAGATTTTGTAGGGGTTTGCTTGGGCTTCCCAAACCTGCAAAATCTGTTTAACTGACGGCAAGAACAGAGTGCGTTTCTGGTTTGCATAACTCTCATTGCAGCAATGCATTTGTGTGAGAGAGAGAGAGAAAGAGAGGGGAGAAAAAAAGGAGGATTTGACAATGAGGGGTGTGGTAGGGTAGAGAAGGAGAAAAAGAAAACCTTTACTGTATCTCCTTTGGGGGAAAGTAAGCAAGTATGGGCTGTGCAATGAAGCTTTACCTAAAAGTCCAGCCTAGTAGGATGGAACAAGAGCCAAAACTCTGAAAGAGGGGAGAAAAACGGCTTTTGCAGTAGGCCTCAAGCCTGCTTGAAAATAGTATCCCCTCTCTGGAAACTCCCCGTTCCTGAAGCTTAACGTGTGGCTTCAGGAAAAGGCACTCTGCACTTGCTCAGAGGAAGCTTTTAATTTGGTTGCAGAACGGGGCTGTGCCTCAAGCTTTTTATATATATTATTTTTGTCCTTGTAGTATGCAAACCAGCCCAAGCGATTCCAATTCTGAACCGTCCCTTTAAAGCGAAAGCAGGAAATCCTTGGATCATAGCTGTCAACGTTTCCCTTTTCTTAAGGGAAATTCCCTTATTCCGAATAGGCTTCCTCGCAAGAAAAGAGAAAAGTTGACAGCTATGCCTTGGATCCTGCGAGCCCATTTGAGTCCTATAACCGCTGGGCAGCTCAGGACAAAATTCTGCTTTTTCCGCACTGCTATCTGAGGTCCATCTCTCTCTCATAAATATATTCCCTTTTGCTCAGAGCTACAGCCCCTTATGAAAACCAGATGCTCTCCGCGCAGCCAGGAAGGCGGGTTCTGCTTTTCCAAATTCCTTCCCCAGGAACGCTCGGCACTTCTCCCATCCCCCAGCTGCCCCCAATATAGGGGAAAGCACGGCTCCTTTCCGCCAGCCCTTCTCCTCCCTCCAAGCAATCCTGGCTCAGCTAAATTATTGCAACGGCTTCTGCAAGGCGGGAGCCAGAGAAATGAGCCCGTGGCCTCCTTGGCTGAACTCCTCCTCCAAAAAGGGACTTTTGTGTCTCTTTGAACCTGGGTCCCAAAGACTGGGCCATTGTGTGTTTGAAATGGGATCCTTTGCTCCCCGTGATTTCTATAGATCAGGGACAGGGGATCCTATTCAGATAAAAGGGCCGCATTCGCTTAGGGGCACATGGACAACCTATTTCCGCTCCCCAAAACTATGTCTCCTAAGAAACATACAATTGTGTTCACGAGGGTTGACATCTAGATTCTCTTCCCAGCCCCCTGTGAAATAAATTCACCACTCCTGTGCCCTTTTTTTAAAAAAAATTTGCTGAGCACCATCTTTGCAGATCGGACGCGGGTGGCGCTGTGGGTTAAACCACAGAGCCTAGGACTTGCCGATCAGAAGGTCGGCGGTTCGAATCCCTGCGACGGGGTGAGCTCCCATTGCTTGGTCCCTGCTCCTGCCAACCTAGCAGTTCAAAAGCACCTCAAAGTGCAAGTAGGTAAATAGGTACCACTCCGGCGGGAAGGTAAACGGCGTTTCCGTGCGCTGCTCTGGTTCGCCAGAAGCGGCTTAGTCATGCTGGCCACATGACTAGAAAGCTGTACGCCGGCTCCCTTGGCCAATAAAGCGAGATGAGCGCCGCAACCCCAGAGTCGGCCACGACTGGACCTAATGGTCAGGGGTCCCCTTACCTTATATTTGCACCCCAGAGTACCTGGGAAGGGGGATTTCTTGTTTAAAAAATCTGGGAATTGTAGCTCTGAGAGAGGGATGGGGGAGGGTCTCCTAAGATCACTCTGCACTCTTAACAAACTACAGCTCCCAGGATCCTTTGCGGCAAACCACGACCATTTAAAGCGGTATCATAGTGCTTTAAGTGTATGGTGTGGAAGCAACCTTGGTTATAAAACCTGTTTGGGAGAAAGGCTATTTATTGGCCCACACTGGAGTCCTTGTTGTGTCCCTGAATCGAGGGTGGAGGTGTTGATGGGCCCAAAGGAAAGACGCAGCAGAATCATGTGTCTCCCAGGCCAGATCAGCGACTCATGCAGTAGGGCAACAGGGAACCTCCTCCCTCTGGGCGAGTCCTTTGGGTTCACGATTTGATTTACTTCTTTCGCCTGACGCACGGTTAGGGAATTGTAGAAACTTAAGCTGGAACCAGGCATGGAGGGGGGGGGGGAAGGCTTCTTTTATGAAGTGCGTGCCTAATTTGTACCATCTGAATATCTCACCGGCTCGTAATGGAAACCTGAGCATGGGGGAGGTGAGGGAAGGGAGTCTTTCAGAGTCCCTTTTCGTCTAGGCTGCGGCTGACTTAAAAAAAGAAAAACTCATGTCGTGGACGGGGCCTCTCCTAATGTGTTCCAGATGAGAGACACGAGACCCCACCTCCCTTTCCTCCCTTTTACTCTGCGCCTGGATGTTTTTGTTGTTGCTTTTGGCCTACAACTCCCATGATGCCTAGCTAGCAGGACCAGTGGTCAGGGATGATGGGAATTGTAGTCTCAAAAAACATCTGGCGGGCAGAGGTTGAGGAAGCCTGCTTTAAGCTGTGCTAAAGTAGTTGCTGATCCGAGAGGACTCTGTCCATCACGATCTAATCCTGGGCCACCAGAGCCTATATATTTGCATTCATATTTATCTAATTTTATTTGTTTAAACAAGGGCATATGCTTCGATGACATGGAAGAGTAAAGGAAAGCAATTGAGTTGAAGGAGAATTAAAATCAAACACACACACACACACAGAGAAAAAACAACCTGAAGGAAGAGACAATGCATGTGCTTTTGTAAACGAGGAAAATCTTTAATAAAAATATTATTAAAGAGAGAGAGAGAGAGAATAAGTTGACTGTTTCACGTCCCCTGGGAAAAAATATTGGTATTGTGAGGGCTAGTAATGCTTTTAAAAGGTTTGTAAAGCAAAGCAAAAACACAAAACAGGTTATTAGGATATTCTCACTTAAAATGGAAAAATTACTGAGAATTCCGAATAGTAGCATATGCTTGTTAATATTTACGAACATTTTAGGCTCATTTTAGTATGTATATATATTAGTATGTATATATACCGTACTGGTTAACAAAAAAAAAAAAGGTTCTTTAATCAAATAGCATCTTCTTATTTGCTTAAATTGGGAAAGCTGAGAACGTGTGTCCCATTTTTGGTGTGATGCGCATCAAGACAAGTTGCGAAACTTACCAAAACCCACCCCCACCCCCCAATTAGAAAGTGTCTAAATGTGAGTGAGGCCTTAGCTAAGCCTGAGACCCTGGCCAAAGGACCATCCATTTTTTTCTGGAGAACACAAAGTGCTAAAGGAAGCAGCTGAATCGTTTATGTACGAGTTTCAAAAACAGTGCCAGAAACAGGGTCAAAGATGACCCAAATTAGCCCTCTCCAAAGGCCAGAACAGGTTAACCGATAAAAGGATGCTGGGAAGTGAGTCGACACAACCTGCGGCCACATTTGGGGGGCTAAGAGATGCTTCTCCCCCTGTTTTGTCAGCCCCAGGCAGGCGGCAAAGACAGGAGGGCTCGCTGAGGCCTTGCCAGGCCAAAGTTGGCGGCTAGCGGGTGATGTTTGCCCACGGCGGAAAGTTCCAGAACATGCGTTGCAATCCCATGATTCCGCGATATGTGAGAGAACGCACAAGATGGATGGTACCCAGCAAGGGTTAAGGTGCTCATCTCCTTTGCCCGCATCACGGAGGATGCTGGCGCTTGCCGAAGAGTCGCCATGGCAACGGCACCAGCCGGTCCCTATACCGGAAGCCTGAGTGGAGAGACGGGCGTCTCGAATTGCCCATGTCGGTTAATTAGGAGCCGAGGAACCGAGATGGTGGCAGAGGCGGGGCAAAGCAGGGTTAGAGAGCTGGGCAATAACGTGTCCCGGGTTCAAATCTTGCCCCTGCCTTGGAGTCACTGGGAGGCCAGGTTACGTTCCCTCATCCTGTTGCCAGTCCTTAATGTCAGGAGAATTGGGACAGGCCTACCTTATAGGGGGCTCGTAAGGAAGGCTGAGGTAACACATGTGAAATTCACAGGACACACGGCCATGATAGAAACGTTATTTATTGATATAAACCAAACGTTGTTGCTATTATCCATAATATAAACCATAATATATAAATAACCAGGATATGAAGGTTATTTATTGCGTAATTTCCTGTATGGGCAACCCCAGAAGAGCAGGGATTTGGGGCACCTGAAGGTTATTGCGTTTCAGACGTTTAAGTTTAGAGAAATAAAAAGGATCTTTAAGAAAGGCTTGGTCAAAGTGGAGGATGCCTTTTCTAGGGGGAAATGGCATTAAAAAGAAGGGAAAAGTTACTTTAAAGAGCATGTGTAGGAGGTGCCTGAACATTAGGTTGTGTATATATATATATATATATATATATATATATATATATGCTTATTTCTGTGTTGCTGTTTGGCC